TAGCCTGATGGGAATATAGTTGAGCAAACAATTTCCCCCCTGGAGATCCACTTGGCGAAGTTGCGACGTCCGGCCGGCTGCTGGGCCCAAATGCGGTTGTAAACTTCCGCCTCCGCTTCAAACCTAAACGTAACAAGTTAGTAATTCCAATAGCAAGCTATTGAAGTAATCTGACTCACAGCTCATCGTATTGAGGTCCCCAGCACTTAAGTATCACCGTTGATCCACCCATAGTTGCTAGCCAGGTCGCCTTGTTTTGAACTGTTGGTTCTGATAATAGCTGAAGGCAGTTAACGACCCTAGGGGTAGGTCCGCCAGCGTTAATAATCACACTATTCGATGTGATAGTCTCTTCTTGGTTCGCCATCGACGGGGAGTAGTAAGCTGAAATATCAAGTAGACGGCCGGAGACCCGGGAAGGAGGAGGGCCTCGTAGCTTCTCAGTATATTAGCAGCTTTTCTATATCCTAGACAGTTGCCCAAATCAATACTTACGTTTCTTGGCTTAAATGTCTCGCTTTCAACGTACTTTGGCCCCGACACGGCCATTAAACAGAAACCAGCAAGTAACTGGCGAAGGGAAGGCTGTGTAACGCCACGCCAAATAGGCGACGAAAGGAGAAAAGAAGAGTCGGCTTCTCGTTTAACAAAAACGGTGGAGTTGTAGGTGGACAGAAATCCAAACCGAGTTGAACATGTACGCATCTGAGCAACAAGTTGTCCTAAGCAAAGGGCCAAGAGTCAGCGAACTTGACGTGAAAGTGAGAGAATGCTAGGCAGGCATACCTATCAGTGGCTCGAGGCGAAATGATTCGGGCCGGTTGATATGAAGATCTTCGTCCGAGATGGTCCAGGGCGTTTTCATTTCTCCAACCAGATGAACGTTACCAGGTCTAAGGCTGGTCGCAACCAGCCCCAAACATACGTCTGGGGTAGTCATTTGTGGGGTGGAGATTGCCTGAAAATCAGCAAATCGGGTTGACGCCATACCTGGCACCAATTCGAGGGCTTTGATAACTGGGTCGCAGACATTGCGGACAAACCTCCCGGTTAAACCAAGCTCATTACCGACTGTGTAAAGTTCCGTCTCATCGTTCAGTGGAACTTCATGGGCTATGCCAGCTTGTAGGAACACTCGGCAAGCGTCCGTTTGGAATGTACTCCATAGAGACATATAGGCGACTGACAGACGGTCGGAATGGATTGATGGGTTCAATGTTCCTCCGTTCTGGCTTACAGCTGGAGTAGCTCTAGCCAACTGCGTCTGGGCTGGTTCCATGTTTTGGGAGATGGAATAATCGTTGGAATGACAAAAAAGGTTCTGGGACCCTGAGCCGAGGGGCTTACTGTTATCGACAGAAGTGGGAAAATTGAAAGACGATCCTCAGAGAGGACGCAAAAGACAAGGCGAGAAGAATTCACGAACCTCAGAGGACGCAACAAATGACGCGAGGTGGGATAAGGAGATGTTCGTAGAAGACGAAGGCGGGGCAAATTCACGATGCTCAGCGAGGACGTGAAAGAAAAGGCGAAAAGAATTCACGTAGGGCTGAAATATCCAGTTTCTTCACAGCTGTGGTCCACTAGAATCAACTACGGGAAGACTTGGTGAATAGATGATGAGTTCAAGCTGAGTGGGATGTAGAAAAGACTTGGCAGAGTGTATAAGACTTCGGTCGACGGGGGCCTCACTTCTGCAGGAAGTGCAGGGTCCACCCGTGGACCCGTGGACCCGTGGACCCGTGGACGGGTGGTGAGATTACGTAATCATACTTCGGGCCCGCGCACTTTCTCGGTTCGGTATTTTCAGCAGGGCTTATAGCACTTGAGGGTTCTAACATTTGAAGGTTCTCCTCCAGTCATCAGTGATCTTCCCCGGGGTCGGATCTTTCCATCCTTCGGGAGGCATCTCTACTCCTAGGCAATCACACTACCATTACCAATTTTTCACGTCCTGATCTTCGGTTTCCTGAAATACCAATTTCATATTGGAACGACCGTGGTCGTTCTGTTTTCTTGTCTGTTGTTTGACAACTTCAGGGGACACCCAGTCAGCTTCTTCCGGTCGGAACATCTAAAGTTGAAACCCCCGATTGGGAACTATATCCAGCATATCTTTCATCAATTACAGAGCTTATACCTATTTTCACTAGGATATTGTTAATTGAGGGTTCTAGTCTAGGTAAAGGTAGGGGACCCTCACCCGTAAGCTTTGTCCTGGTCCGGCGGGGCAGTGACCGTCACTCCAGATCCCCCTTCAGTGACAACAACAATAGCAGTGGCTGTTTCCAAATTGAAGGCATCTTCTATGTGAGCCGCAGGAATCACCAGGGGTACCGGAATATCATGGTTCGAATCCAAGCGGTAGAACATTGGGAATAGTATCCCTGCAACGGCAACAGCCGCGGCTGCTAGCACGCCCACTTGGCGCTTTTCAAGGCTGCGAGTTATAAGTACCCTATCCGAGTCTTCGAGGACGTCTATAACGGCTTGGTAACACGCCGAGTCAAGTTCTGCACACTTACTGTCCATCACGGAATTGACGCTGTCCTCCAGGTCTGGAGACAGAAACAGCATGATCCCGTTTTCGGCTGGGTCGCCCACTGCAGTGGCATCGAGCACATCTCCTGAGAGAGTAGGAGTTGGGACCTAAAACGTGTTAGACAGTTTCCCTGCTTTAAACCGGGATAAATTGCAAGGGGGACAAACTCCATTGGTAGTATATTGGGCGAGATCGCCAACGAAGAAGTAATCATCGGCACCATTGCAATAAGAGAGTCAAGAGAATAAGAGCACGAGAGACGAAGCGGGCGGCATTACTTCCAATGGACGGTACAATGAGTGTGGCTATTACTTGAATTGATGAGACATTACGCATTATATAGCCATGCCTTTCAAGAAACTCTGTGTATACCTCTCATCCCTCCAATTTACTTTAAATAAGGGTTTCGTACAAAAACGTACAATCCTCCGACGGATTAATGACTAGACTACGCTTTGACACAACCCACAAATGGGTCCAAACGTTAGACCCAGGACCCATCTTGGACCCATTTTCAACCCAACTTTTTGCATAAAATTCCTAATTAGGAAGGAAACTTGTCTTTTCAGGACTCTTTATGATTTGTTTATGATTTTGTACAAAAAGTTGGGTTGAAAAATAGAAAAATAACCCATTTTGTCGGTCGAAAATTGAGTTTTGTCAAAGACTATTAATGACTAGAATACTAGCGTTGGATATCGTACAATCGTATAATGGGAGAACCCTTCGGCCCCCAAGCTAGCAGTAAGGGACTGCCTTCGTAAATGGGGCTCCATACTAGTTCTCTACTAGTACAGCAAGTGACTCAGAAGGCGGTGGGGGGCACTGGAAGGCACAAATATCTCCATCTATCATTTGACCCGGATATCCAGCAACCTGCTACAATGAAGCCTAACGCCTTTCAGCGAGAATTTCACGATACGTGCTCCGATGGCGACATGCCAAAAATCCATAAGACTCCTCCATATCGCGTAGCTCTTGTTCCTTGGCTACTAGCTTATCGAAAAAAATATCTTCAAGTACCTTGAGTTTCTTTTTCCAAGCTCTTTCTTCATCCCTATGTAAATCCTATATCGACTTCTCTAGCCTTCGTTTATTCTGCTCAGCTTTCCTTATCTACTTTTCCAAATCCGCCTTAAGCTCCTATATCTCGATGGTATAGGCTGTATTCTTCTAGGTAATTTCGGTCTCGATTACCTGTTTGAGCTTATTTAACTTGAGCTTATAAGCCTAGCGAGCTTTGTATAGATCCCTAGCGATTATAATACCTGCTTTCGTCTCGCTAATTACTTTCCTCTGGTTAATAATTTTGCGCTGTAGTTCTAATACCTCTAGAACATACTTTTCAGATTGAAGTATAAGATATATTACGATACGGCGTATTGTCAGGACCCCAGTACTAAGAAGGCTGATGCCTGAAGTATGACACCTGTCACGGTACGTGGAAGCACGCGTCCCGGGTGCGTGGGGGACTGTGGACTGGACAGGAGCAATGTATGCTGCCTGCACAGCCTCTATGGGTCATATGACCCATAACCTATATATTATCCTCGTATGCTGCTTCTTTAGGGAAGTAGCTATTAGTTTCTAAGATACTACTATATATACTACCATCTCTATTTCCTAATCCTCCATTATATATAGCATTCCCTTAGGTATTCTATACCTAGGGGTCTTATAGTTCTAATAGCTCTCAACTTTTATGGACCTCTATTGATAAATTTTTGGAAATGAAGCTTGACGAGACATAAGAACCCTCGATATATAGGGACAGAGGTCACCAATTGGTAGAAGGTTTTGTACAGCTGGGATGAAAGAAGTAGGTACAATGTCAATTCGGAATTTTATTCATGGAGAAGGAAGGCTTAGGCCTAAGGACTAGCTATTATATATCCCTCTCCCCCGTTTGTCCTCCTTTAATAATTCAGTTAAGTTAGCGCGAAAAGTCGCGCGGTATTATATACCACTAAGGCGGTGCCGAAGTATTAAACGCGGTGCATTAAAAGTGCGAGCGGCAAGAGAGATACTGGTAAATTCTTGATTCTCCAAAGCCTGGATAGCTAATGAGATCCTATCCTCTTGCTCTATTGAATCTGTAGATAATTGGGAGCGTATTGGTGGCATGGTGGGTGGTTGAACTAACTAAGTCCTAATTCATGGAAGCGTTTTGGGTAGGGTGGCCACTCGCTTGTGAATTATATTAATAGTTGTATTAGGTGATAATGAATCCCGAATTCTTAAAAGGCTAGTTTGAACTTGCATTTATCGTGATAAGCTATTTCTGAACCAGTGGATTATCATATAAACCACCATCAACTCGAATGAAAATCCAGGAAGATAACTTAAGAGAAAGAGGCTTGATCTATCACACGTACATCTCCCCAGTAGACCATTCGTATATGATTTAAGTGGAACTGGGTACCCAGACTTGGTAGTCAAACGGTAAAAGCATCCTAGTTCATGTCAGCCCTGAATAGGCAATCGCGTAGGCAACGTACTCGCAAATCTGTCGGAACTTGACGCGAATGTTTTGCCGCTCCGAGAAAGTGCAATTCCAGAACCGGGTGAATTCCAAGGGCTCGCCAGGCACCTTCTCCCATATCACATATGTGACAAATCCGCCCGATATGATATCTCCCTTATCCTGCTTCCCAAACTGATATCCAAGAAGCTCGGGAACAACTTTACAGCCTCGCTGCTTGAAGTGCTTCAGGGCTTGGAGCTCTGGGGGCTCGAAGGGCCCGATAGCCTGGGCAGCTCGGACTGAAGCCTTTTGCAATTCTGTTCCAAGCCAGGGTATCTGCTGGTAGATACGCAAGAACCCGAGGGGCCCTTGCGCACCGGAGGGGCGACACAAAACCTTTCCAGCAACGTATGCAGGACCCCTACCATCAATGAAATTTTGCTCGGACTGGGTCACGATATTCCCTTCAATCTTTTCGACTATCTCCCAGATCTTAGGCATGAAGTTAATTAGGGGTTGGGGCGGAGTGTTCATCGTAATTTGTGTACCTTCGAGGCCAGAGAGGACTTAACCAGAGTTGGAAGAGTTAGACATGATAGGTTAGGGATTAATGATGTTGCAAATGATGCGATTGGAGTGACTGATAGAAAGAGACTTGAGAAAGTTGCCCAGGTAAGAGCTTGTCAACCATGGGTAATATACAAACCTTGGACGTAAAACATGCAAACAACCCAACATTCCCTAACCTCGGAACCACCTTTCATTAAATCACCTCTTCATTTATCGACGTATGGCTTTGTTCTGGATCTATCTCGTTCCCTGAGCCCGTCAGAGCATGATCCTATGCATAAAATCAAAACTCTCAGATACGAGGCTGTGACTTTGGTTCGCAACGCAACGTCAGTTCTTATTTAATTCACAGAACAAACATTATATAGCCAGTACATTAGCCTCGGGGAGCTGTATCTGTGTGGTATAATAGGATATCTTCAATGTCAACGACAAAGTCCTTTCGGAGAGGTAGAGGTAGAATGAAGAAAATTTATCATTGGGTAAGCTAAATGACATTTGGGGTGTAACAACCTTCGAAACAGTAGCGGTTTGAATAATAGTACCTTCACGATTTAAATCTACTCCGCGAAGTCAGTTTCTGAACCTATATATCAGAAGACCTTTTCCGTTTCCTAGATTGCCACTCTGCTTCCCGCTGAATCCTCTCAAACTTCATAGTTTGCGTTCGTAATTCATGCAAGTCATCGTATCCCTCATCTAGTTCCTCGTAGAAACTGAGGTATTTCTCAAACTTGACATCGATGTCGCTTGTTTCATGATCTTCCATGTTGAAACGCAAATTTCGCGCGAATTCTTGAAAGTCTTGGTCGATGGGTCTATAGTCAATTGGCTGTTTCCCAAGAAGGGCATTTTTGAACCAAAACTCTTCTACTTGGACGATCTCAGCACTGCACCGTTTGCAAATATTTAGCCCAATTTCCACTTCACCGGCGCAAAGATCACAGCAGTCGATCCCCTGGTCTTTGCATTCCTTCGCAATAGTCCGCCAGTATTGAACCTCCCGAGTGACAATTTTGTAAATGTTGAAAATTCGCCTGGCAATGGATGGATAAATGTATCCAGGTTCCTGCCAAGGGTAATGATTGCGTAAAAAGAGATACGCGCTCATCCCGGGCCGTAACGAACCTTGGCGAACGGGAGGTTCGCAACCCAGAGATAGGATCCAATCTACAAATTGAAATCCTTCTGAGAAAATACCATAAGAATTGTTGATATTCCACCTTTTTCCAGCTTTATCCTTTCCTAGGCCGCGGATGTTCGGGACCCTATGAATCCGCGAGGTGTGATAGACATCATGGTTCTCAAACGTGTTTTTGATTGCCATACCTAAAGTCTCTGGCGTTGGTAAATCGGGTGGTCCATCAATAAGAAAGACGCATACCGAGCTCATCTGGCGTCCAGCATCGTGTTTATGGCCGTGGGCATAGACCAGAACACACCCGTCCGTGGAAACATCGAGATTACCGAAGTTAAAAGGCTCCAGTGAGGAATTTGACAAATGTATCTGGTCAAAGGAACTCGATGTATGCAAAAATGGTTCTTGGGGTTCGAGTTCCCCTTTCTTGAACAGGTTGTAAATGTAATGGACGATATCCCTAGGGATTGCATTGCTAGCCACCAACCGAATCTGAAATCCCCCGCCACCTATTCTCAGACAAATTCGTCGGATGGCAGCGAAGAGGATATGTCTCGTATTTCCCGCATGAAATTTAGCGATGATATTCTTCAGCACTTCGATTTCACATTCGTTTCTCACCAAAGGCGGCAGACAAGTTACTCGCCGGGGGCTGTACACGGAGGCTGTAACAAGATGCTCAAATGCATCTTCAGCAACGGCGATCACGGTCAACTCCCGAACTTTCACCCAGTTTGGTAGTAGGAATGAAGCATATGTCACTGAAGCATAGAATTTGGTTTGATCGAGATGATGTGATCGTGGCATCCTGGAACGTCCAGTCCACTCCTCCTCCATCATACCCAGGCAGGCCCAACTTATCGATAGAGGAGTCTCTTGTAACTTTGTGATGATTTGTCTGGCGAGGATTTTCCTAGCGTGATCTTGGGTTGATTGTAGCATCGTCGTCACATTGTCTCTTGTCACTAAAAAGCAACGATATTGACTCTCGACAAAGGTGGCATGTCGAATGATCCCCAGCTGGTTGTCCATTGCTTCGAAACTTTTAAGACCCCGATGATAGCTGTCTTGGATGCTTCTATCGTTTTCATCCGACATGTTAGGATGTATTGCTGTGAATGTGGAAAATATGTCGGTATCTGGATGAATCATGCTTGCACAATCATTCTCCCCGGATGCTATGATCCTTAGTTTGTTTAATATGTCCTCGCGATATATGTCACGAGCCCACTCAAAGACATAATCGACAATCAGTAGGAGTTGCAATGCCCCATTTCTCGATGTAATAGAGCCTCCCCATAGATCGAAGATTTGCTGGGAGAAAGTTAGCATGTGCCATTTTTACAGGAAACGTCTCTTGGAACAAGACCCGCAGGTTAAACAAACATATTCAGTAGTACCGATGGTCCCAGGTTTCTCGCCTGCATCATTATATACGCATGCCACAGACACTCGCCAATCCTCTCCTCTATTCATTAGTAACCAGACTAATGGATCAGCCTGCTGCTTCGCGTGCGGCTCAGTCATATTCTTCAACAACTCCTGCGTGCATAACAGAGTCCGCACCGGAAACGCGGATTGCAACTTAATGGAATTCCAATCGCTATCTGCCGACTTCGCCGACTTCGCTTCGAGAAGAAGAAACGGGAACACCACTGGATCTCCATCCTCACTGAGCGGCGGATCTCCCAGGATCTCATGAACAAGCATATCGTGATCATCCTCCGCTCTATGTATACACGCTGTATCGTTCAAGAGGTTTTCAATGTTTCGAGTCTGCCGAAGTCCGTAGATTGCATCCGGTTTTGTTGCACTTGGTAGTTCTTTCTGGATAGTTGAGTCGTGGTGTACTGGTTCATCTTCCCGATGGCCAAAAATCCGATTCAACCCGACAGCTTCCATTCTGCGTGGCTTGTTAGTGCCAGTGACTAGCGGGTGATGTGTTCCTAATCTGTAACTCACGAATCCTCAAGTCTGAAGTCTCGCGGACACCGACAGGGCTCTCGTTTATTCTGCCTAACACGCAGGGCTTCTGTCATAGTCGAGTTCCCCTCACTTGTCGCTTCGATTTCTGAACGCCATACTCGCTTTCGACAGAACTTGCTGGGTTCCAATATAAGCCATCTTGTTAATATCGTTGGAATTAGAATTCCTACCATACGACCTCTGAAGTAAGTCGAGCTAATGCGTAGGGTTCGCACGCAAACCGCCAGGTCGATTCATTTCGACTCACACAGCGCTTAGCCCGCTCAGAGAGTTCATCGGCATGTTTCTTTATTTCTGCAGTCCATGGTGCATTTTCAATGGCTGTCGCACAAGCCGCATAGGTGTCGAATTGCCTCTTTCCTAGCTCATCAACCGCATTAAAAGTCGGACGATGGCTATCGGGCCATTCAGAGCTTGGAACCTCTCCGCGGAATTCAATTCTATACTTCCGTTTGAGTCTTTCGACCTGCTTCCGTTCTTTGGATGTGAATGGCATGGGTAAAGTGTAGGCCTGAGACTTGAAAAGTGAAAGAGTATAGCTATGGGCATCCCGACAGTTGTCTAGATATAAATACTAATATATAGTCCAACACTGACGTATGTGGAAACTCGCAGGCGAAACTTCATCTTCGCGGCCCCCAATCCTAGTTTCAAGGAGGTAATGAACTAATATTACTGTTGTAGCTGCCCTACAGCGTAGGGAGAGTCGGGATCAGCGGGCAGCTCCGGGCCGTTCATCTAGGTAGCGATCGCCATGGGGTCAAACTGCTGGATTTGAGTTTCGGGGAAATTAATCTAGTTCATTCTCTGCCCAAAGCTCTAAGTAAAGATCTAGCCAGAAGAAATTACGTGCTAGATAAGCTAGAGTAGACTGAGTACTCCTTTGGAATCATGGAAGGCTCTTTTTCTCCACCAGTCCTCTATGCTCTTAGAAAGCTTCTTCAAAATGTCCCACACTTTCAGTCTTCTTAAGACTCCACTCACTTTGGTATCCATATCACGCGACAATGCTGACTACGTTCTATAGTTTGTACAGTGCCGCCGCCAAGTGCGACGGGGCCCAAAAATATTTCAAGTACTATGCGTGAACTAGACCCGGGGCTGTACTGACCAACCCATGTAACCCTCAGATCGGTTGAGCTAGACTTATTGTACTGGGTGATCAGCAACTGGTTCTTTGTGCGCCGTGGCTTAGGTCTGTTCCTGTGAAGCGAGTAGAAAATCAATAGCCAAATCCTCATCTCGCCATCCCCTTTAAGCCAGAAGGTAGTGTGCCCTCAACTGTATTCCAGTGGCGCAAGATTATGCGCTGGTCTTAGCTTGAAATAACCCGCCAATGAGGTCTACATTTGACCACTGATGGGACTGGAAAGTTCGCCAGTCGGCCTTTCTCAATCAAGGATACTAACGCACCTTGTAGTGCTACCCATAAGGAAATTGAAAACGAATCAACAAATATGAGCTGCTACCCACAATATCTAAAACTTCATTTTCGTAGGTTGTTAGAGAGGAATGGCCCGGGCAACAACCAAAGTATGATGAAACACCAGCGCAGAAGGTGAAACTACCCCAACATTAGTGTGGTTACATCGCATATTAGTTCCGTTTCCCGAAATACCAAATTCCTCTGATTAACGGATATATATAGCTTTCTAACCTGTCTAAATAACAGGGTAAATATTACACAAATTATGCGTACTGGCGATATCCACTGATGTCTTCATTAATCTTTGAAAAGTCTCTCCAATGTCGACCTCATGGTTTATGCGGGTCCCAACCACCTATAGGGTCTTTTTGCAGTCAGAATCTCACGCTCGGGAAGAAAGACTGGCTTCTTCGTCCGAAGGCTTCCTCTTCAATCCCATGGCGAGGTGAAATTGAGACGGAAATCAATTTAGCTTATACTTCACAATCTACACTTATGCCGATATCTTTGTCAGGGTTGTGAGAAAAGATATCCTTACAAAGAATAGAGATAATTTTGTGATATGTATCAAATTCATAGAGAATGGATTAGTAGATGCCTTCATTGATTTTTTCTTCTGGTACCGGAATTTCCAGTATCAACGGCGGAGGGATATATGAAAGACTAAAAGCCTAGTCATTAGTACGAGTTTTGTGCCAACGCATACTTGCATTCTTCGGCGCATGCGTGTGACGAAGCAATAAGAGCCGTCATATACCATGGTGATTAGGTACCCATATATCAAAGCACGACGGCAGATGGAGCGGGGTTTTGTTTGATGGGAGCTAGATACCACCTTCCTTGGACTATGCGAGAGTTCTAATTCGGACTCCAAAGAATCGCTGGATTCAATAAAATACTTAGACAACGAGAACCCGCTGACAAAGTACAGCTTTATCTTGTGAGGATTTTGGCCTCTGTTCAGCGGACCATGGCCGAAGACTGGCTCATTGGTTCCCGAAAATGCAAGAATCATTCTACGTGGTATTTCGAGATTGGTCAGACAGGTGTACAGGTGGCAGCAATCAAGTAAGCTTTACTATCGGAGGCACCATGATGGCAAGCCTCTCGAACGTTGTTTGCTTTTTTTCGGTGGTCTATATCTACTCTCTATCCCCCCCTTCCATTTTTCTCTTCTTGCCCACTCTCATAGCGAACCTTTTCTTGCCGTCATAATTTGTGAAAATACTGGATTTCTGACGATAAAAGCCAGCTATCGCACTCTTCAAACTACCCCTACCAGCTTCTATCCGATCTTTTGACTTTAACACGCATCCTTCATCAAGGTCAAAAGAATATCTTGATCGTTTCATTCTTCCAGCTGCTCTACATGCCACATAAGATGGTTCCAGCTAAAAATAAGAAGCCCATAGCCAAATGGTCTATGTATCCAGCTCTTCACGACGAGGTATCAACATTGTTGGTCGAGGAAAATCTTCATTTCAAATTCCATGAGGATGACAATGACGCAAGGCGCATCAGAGATCATGATACAAACATAATGGGTCGCTTTGTATGCCATAACCCAGGATGCAAATCCAAAGGATGGTCAAGCAAAATGATCGCCGTCACAATTCGTCTATACCCAGGGCAAGAATATAATGCGAGGGTATACCACCAACACTGTAAAACATGCAGTTGGGTCAGTCGACCAGTGCTGGACCAGTCATACGCCGAGAGAATTGTCTACCGGATCAAAAAATGGAACGGAGTGCCAGTAGAGACGATTTCGAATTCCGGCAGCAGCAGAGGTCCTCACAACAGAAAACTTTGTGAGGGGTGCAAAGCCGGACACTGTTCCCAATCAAGGGAGAATGCAGGGGTGGATTTTATTGCACAACTAGAAAGGTTTGTCAGTCTCAAATCGACTAACACTATTTGATACTCGTACTGACATATGCTTAGATTGACTCTCTAACGGACCAGAGATCCAAGTGGGATATAGAAAATCATAATCACGGAGAACAACCTTTCATATATCTGATCCACCTTTGAGAAATTAGGGCAAGGTGTCAAATGGAATACTATGGGACAAAGTCACCTTCAGTGCTTATTCTCTGTTATGAAAACCTTCAATAGGCCTATAAATCCCAGCACCACTTTGCAATATCTTGCTATTTTTGTAGACCCATATATATATTCCTGCAAGGCTTTCAAAGAGCAAGGTGTCCTTCGCAATGAGCGAAAAACAGGATCGACGGGTTTGGCACGAACCACGATCTTGAGGACTAGGACCCATAATTCGAGCCATAAAGTAACCAATTACTAGGGTTCTTGCGTGGCTGTGTGCAGATGCCAAGATGCCGGCCGTTTCAGCTGAGTATCGTGGCCCAATTATGTTGTACTCTTGCTCGGCTGTCAGTTAGTACATACTGTATTGTATGTAGTTCGGGATGGGTGACTGCGAAGGTGTATAGCGGCCAGTGGCCGAATGCCTAATGTTGCAGAGCTGATGCCTTAAATGCCTGATTTATGCCGCCTATAACTACTGTGTTTTGTAAACGGAAGGCACTATTGTCTTAGGGGCTAATCCTGATAAGGCAGTGTACCTCTTGGCACTCTATTTCCAGTATGCATGGCATTAATTATAGTCTCGCTACCTCTTATAGCAGTGGTATCGCCCCCTCCCGTAGAAAGGGCACGGAGGCGACCGCGAGCTTATTCTTAGGATACTTCGCTACGCTAGAGCTAGGCCGGGGGAAGATAGTGGATAAGGTTAGAGGAAGAGTAAGAATACTCGAATTGGAGGGAGATGGAGGTTTGTATAGTAAGAACAACTTTAAGATCAGGAAATAAATAAATAAACAAATATATGCGGTCGGAATATCTTCAAACCACCAAGACTTAGGCGAACAGAGACTTACGTAGTAGGAATAGCTTTATTTTAGATGCTCTCTGTCGTTGTAATCCAGGTATTTGCCAGTATAAAATCAGGCAAAATCAGGCATTCGACCGCTGGCCGCTATACACCTTCGCAGGTGACCACCAGCGAATCCATCCTCACTGATGTATGTTTTTGTCTTTTTTTTTGATTTGTTAGGAAATCCCCTCTTGCCGCCCTGGTACATTTGGATTGCCCCTAACTACTTTAGGTAGCTTGTGGATTAGTTCTGCCGAAGTTCTGATACGCTAAAGAACAACGCGTGTCGGTAGCATTTCTCTTCTCTATACTAGATATATGTAGCCCTATAGATTATAAGGCGCTTTTTCTATAGGAATAAGAGCGGAGGGAAGTTAGCGGAAGAGGAAGGGAGATAGGAAATTTCACTTTGGTTCTTCCGCCATTCCACAATGTATTATCGCGACATCTTTCAATCATTGTCACGCCTTCACCTTCAAATTTTCGGTTTCTTCACTCATCTCTGATCAGCTTTTTCTCTTTCTTTTTGCACTCTTGTCATCAAATCTTCACACCAACATGTCTATCATGGGATATTCAGATAATTGCCTAGGCACACAAGTGACCTTCACCACTCCCTCGCCTCAGCAGTGGGTTCTCGAGGAGAAACTCACCGAGGATTTCTAAAGCATTACCAACCGTGAATTTGAGCTGGGTGGTGGACCTTCCTTCGCTGTGTCAAAGTACCTCTGCTACAGTGCGACAGATAGTAGCAAGAAGGCATTCATGAGAATTTACTTTCAGATTCCTAACCCCGGAATAGAGTCCCAGCTCCCCCAGCTTCGATAATAATAGGCAGCTCCACCCCGTCAGCATTTGGAGCTAAAAGCTCGAAGGATCTCAGTGAATAACACTGTACTATGGTCCCAGCTCTCCTCGCCCACAAAGAAGGAAAGCAAGGCAAGGACGGCGTGGCTCTAGACGGCTATATAACACATATTGTATGGGAAATGGTCCGTAGGAAGCCACTTGATACAGATCAGTTCTAGAGGCCTGAATCGGCGCATTTATACAAGGCCGTTCGCACGAAGTTCCGCCGTATCTAGGAGTATGTTTACAGAATCCCCATTAGCGTGTTAAGAGTGAAACTGACAAACCTAAGAGAGTTGAAGCATCATGGATGGCATCCATAGCTCCCTCTTTTGCAGAATATTATATACGAGTCAACCGGAGGTATGTATGTGATATACGATATGCACCTATTATGAAACAGAATATGCTTACTGTCTTTAGGCACATTGCAGGTTTCCGAGACCCCGACCGCTTCGATCTCGACGAGGAATTTTCCGACATGACCTTTGTCCTCTGGCGTTCAACTAGGCCACCAAGAAAGTCCGGTTGGGAGAAAGACCCTACCAAGTGGGCCTGATAATCATCATGGATGCCCGTTTCCCCAGCTCAAATGTGTTGCGCCAATGAATCGAATTTTTGCCGCAATTACAGGAATCGAAGTTGATATCGAATGACAGCGTAAGACTTCCAATTTGCTAACTAATTGTCCGCATTATCGGGCCGACCACAGTAGTTGCTCTTTTTTCTTGGGCAAGGCGGAATGCTTTTTGCAAATCATCAAAGTTCCCAGTTTAGGCGGCCACAATATGATACAAGATCATGCCTCCGCGATTGGAACTTCTATGGTTTCCGCTTGTGGGTCGCGTGTGGATATGTCGGTGCAGATATGTATGTTGTATGGAGTTGAAAGGAAGCGGGGGAATTTCTACTCCGTAGGTGACGGTCAGCTACCGAACAATGGTACTTGTAGTATCGGGAATAATTGCCAGGCAATCTCCAAGAGCCACAATATCCACAATGAACTTTTTCAGTAGTGGCACCAATAGTCACATGAACTGGCGTCAATAGTAGCAAGGTCAACCCGATCGATAAACCTGCAAATACTAGGCTCTAACAAATCCACTGGGGAAATTGAGGGAAGTCGGTCTTCAGTTTGTTGTCTCTTAGAAAAGCCTCGGCACACCAGGCACGTGATAAGGGGTAAATTGTTGCCTGGTTTGTCAGGCGAGCAAATCCTTGCACGTGTTTACTTCTCCTATTATCTATCATGGGCCCTCTTAGAGATTTCCCTCAATCTATTGGGCATACCAATTAGATTAATATCGTTTTTCGGCCCGAATTGGTAGAATTCCGATGTCATATGGCCAGTGATCACTATTATTGTCGGCTTCTATCACTCTTCTTTCTTTTCATGCTACCTATACGTCTTTTCAAGGCGAAGAAATATACATTTCATCAAAAGTATAAGCAATCACATGCGCAAATTAACTAATTTAACTACATTCCCCGGAAACCCAACTGATCTATCACGTTTGTACACGTGCACACTAAGCCAGGTCGGCCAATAAATCTCCTCCGATATATAACCACCCGTTGCCGAAAGTTGGTCGATCTCCGAATTTTCGCTCTCTATTACTCCGCATATCTACACTAATCCTACAACGCTGTGGGTTAAGGTGACAATGCATAATAACGATCTGCAGAGTGAGCGACGTGCAGACATGATTGGCCCTAATTGCATTCTATCGTATGCAAATATGTTATGCTTGTGGTGTCTGCGCCGAGACACGAAAGTATATATAGAGCTAAATCATATAATCTTTGTGATGTAGTTTTGAGACTTCAGATTCTGGGACTCATTTATAACAACATTATTCGGTCATGGGGGGAATTCTATCGCTCAAATTGCTGCCCTTTGTGGCTAGCTGCGCCTTTGCTGGTGTCAATTATCCTGAGATCCCGAAGGACTTGACTACACCATTCCAGCAACGATTGACAGTCTATGGACCTAATGGTAAGAAGACCGGTAGATATAGTGGGCTTGGAGAGGACTGACTTATTCATCTTTAGCTGTGTCGGTTGGTTGGAACACCTATGAACAGCTGAATCAAAGTTGTGTGAATTATGGCTTGTCAGAAACCAACCTGAATACCAAAGCTTGCTCATCCTCGTCGACTACCTACGATCCTTCCCGGACGTGGTCAAATGTTGCAGTCCTAACAGGCCTGACCCCCGCGACAACCTACTACTACAAGATTGACTCCACCAACTCGACCATAGGCCATTTTCTCAGCCCTCGCACGCCCGGCGATAGAACTGCATTCACCATGGACGTGATCATTGATCTTGGTGTCTACGGCAAAGACGGCTTCACAAGCAAAAGAAGCACAAAAAAGGACACTATTCCAGTCATCGAGCCAGAATTGAACCACACCACAATTGGTCGCCTCGCGGAAACAATAGACGACTACGAGCTTGTCATCCACCCAGGCGATTTCGCTTACGCCGACGACTGGTATCTTAAATTCGCAAACCTGCTCGACGGCAAAGAAGCCTACGAGTCTATTATCGAACAATTCTACGACCAACTAGCACCGATCGCAGGCCGCAAGCTCTACATGGCCAGCCCGGGAAACCACGAAGCAGACTGCTCAGAGATTCCATACTTGAACGGCCTCTGCCCAAAAGGCCAGAACAACTTCACCGAGTTCATGCACCGGTACGAGAAAACCATGCCGCAGTCTTTTATTTCGTCGTCACCAAACCCAACGGCCCAAACCCTGGCCCGAACGGCCCGCAGCCTTTCCAACCCACCCTTTTGGTATTCCTTCGAATACGGCATGGCCCACGTTGTGATGATCGACACCGAAACGGATTTCCCAAATGCACCAAGCGGCCAAGGTGGCTCCGCCAAGCTGAACGGCGGGCCATTTGGCACTGCGAACCAACAGATCGAGTTCCTCAAGGCCGATCTCGCTTCCGTCGACCGGTCTGTCACACCTTGGCTAATCGTCGCCGGACACAGGCCATGGTACTCAACCGGAGGATCGTCGAACGTCTGCAGTCCCTGCCAAGAGGCGTTTGAGGGCCTGCTTTACCAGTACGGCGTTGACATCGGTATTTTTGGGCATGTGCACAACTCGCAGCGGTTCATGCCTGTGGTCAATGGTACCGCCGATCCCAACGGTATGGAGGACCCCAAGGCCCCCATGTATATCGTTGCTGGAGGCCCCGGTAATGTTGAGGGTCTGGGCTCTGTTGGCAGTAAGCCTGCTTATACGGAGTTTGCATATGCGGATGACTATAGCTACAGTACGCTTAGGTTTTTGGATGAGCAACACTTGCAAGTTGATTTTGTGAGGTCCTCTACTGGAGAGATCTTGGATTCTAGTACTTTGTACAAGGAACATGCAACGGATTTTGTGGACCAGTAATGGAAGTTTGGGGATAATAGAGGCTATTTAGTTATGACATAGGGCGTGGGACGATGTGATAGTGAAATAGAATGTGAATTTCTGTTTACAGGGCTTTTTAGCACAAGAAAGTGTGAAGACCTAGTAATGTAGGGAAGAAAAAGAGTGTCATTCTATAAGAAAATTACTATATAAAGAAAGAAATAAAGAAAGAGAGCCCCAATATTTCCAATGCCATCTAATATGCACAATCATCCATCCCATCAATTATTTACATACGCCTTGCCTCATATGACCATATATGCATCAAGGATCTAATGTAACCAATTATAAAAGTACAGCCCATGTCGTATATGTGGCTCTCATCGATGCGATAGCTGACTATTCCACTCCTTCGGGGGCGTCGTCGAACAACCCGCCCCAGATGGCCCCTGGAAGCCCCAGGGCTCACTATGCACGACAGTCTCGGAGACAACTGTGATATCCTTGGAGGAAGGCTCAGATGGAGCGAGGATATGCTCATCGCTGCCCCACGCGGAGGTCTGCATATGCGTTGGCGCGGCAGCGTTCGTTTTACTCTTTTTGGTGTCGCCTTCGCCGCGGGTTGTCAAGCTCTTTAAACCTCGACTGGAGAGCTGGTATGGCTGTCCCGACGTTTTACCCGAGGAACTGAAGACGTGGGAGAGACCAATCTTCCTGAAGCCCTTGCGGATAAGTGGTTGAATGATGGGCAGGTTAGAGACAACGATTGAGACGAAAGTTTCACGACAGGCCCATTTGGAGCCGGTTTCAGCGCCGTCGGGGCTGGACTATAGTGCATATGTCAGATATATGCGTAAATCACAGGTGTGTGTGTTTCTGCGTGGGAATCCTATTATTGCATGGGACGTACCTTCATAATTGTAACCGCCCGAATAATTCCCGCTATCATGACGAATGTAGCGCCGGAAAAGAGAGCCATAAGAGGGATCTTTCGTTTCAGATTGATGTTGACAGTCCAAAGAAGAGGCAGGGGGATTGAGAGAAGGTAGATGTCCGTGGTAATGTTGAGTATCACGATGACGAAAACATAAACGGGGGAGTTGGCTGGCTGACAGAATTCTGTAAATATATCAAGGTAAGAAGACTATGGATTATATCTGATTGTGGTGTAACTCACTGCCGGGGTCGGGGTAGATCTGCCAAAATGCATGGAAGGGCTGACATGACAGTAGGATCGACAACGCTGCTGCGAGGTATGTCACAATTAGAAGGACATACCCCAGTCGAACTCTGGTAGGAAGATGTTGGAGACCAGTCCTGTGATATGCTTAGCGCATTGGTTCGTTATATCCAAGGTGGTATGTGAAGCGCACGTCAATCGAGAGTAGAAGACTGCCAAGCTGAATTTAACCAGCCAGAGAATAGCCGTGTAAAATGACCATCCAACAATTTGGGTCTTGGAGCCAGCAACACGGTGAGCCCATTCAGTCGAATTGGGGTCAAGAGCTGCTCGAGCTTCAGACGTCATGTAACTGTTAGTAAGGCCCTGGTATTTGGCACCGACGAGGTATGCTGCTACTGTTTCAAGTACGAACAGGATCTGTCAAAAAGCATTATGTTAATTATAACTTCTTTCAATGGTGTTTACAGGACAGGTGAAGCAACTTACTCCCGCCAATGGCATGAGATAATCATCAAGTTGGAAATCGGCCGGTCCGACGAGCTTCCATCGTACCCCGACACGGACTAATATTATGATCAAAGCCAAGGACAACAAAGTCCATGCTTCGACGTTACCGGCCATTCTTGCGAGTCGTCAGTTGTCAGCAAACCAAAGGACAAAATAACGGAAGATGAAAGCGGGAGTTGGAGAGAATTATAAAGAAAGGCCCCAGCCAGACCGACCCGCTTAGAATCTCCAGAATATACGGAGTCGGGATTTACACTATAAACTTGTGCGACTAGCTTGCCAGGCTAATCGCATAGTGCGAATAGCCTACCCCTGGAGGATCATCCATGTAAATTGTGTAATTTTGTAAATTTGTGTCGTCCCACCGGCTCCATAAAATCCACCCCGCTAAGAGGGGTAGATCTGTAATTGGTGCGTGGCCGACGGTCCGTGAGTCCGACACGGGCGGGAGGCTGATACGAGGGGATTACGAAATTGAGGATTACGCACCAGGGATGCGTAGAAAATTACAAGGCTATGCAAGCCGGTAAACTGACACTTGCCTGTGATATAAATTAATAAGATTCGGACGTAGAAGCCGAAAGGGGAAGTTGAACTCAAAAAGTATACCCCAGCCCTGCCTTGAGGTCCCGTATGGAGCCGATCAAACTCAAATCTTGGTGGGGCGGTGGGGCTCCGTAAGGTCGAGCCATAATGTCCCGACCCACGGCTCAGCCTTCGGAAAGATTTCGGAACCCGTTACACGCGCTGTGGGGATATCCGTGGTGACGAGCCAACTACCAAGGGTATCATTGGCCAATTCATGAAACAGCTTGTCCAGGTGATATAGGGCTTCAAGAATTCCTTAAATAACCACATTGGGAATAGGCCCCCCTCTCCCCCTATTGTCCTCCGCTGTTCTCCGAAATCACGTATTTATTCTTCGTTTCCTCCCAATAATTGAACACAAATTTCCAAATTTCCAAATTTTGGTACTTACGTTTTGGTGATTTCCACGGTTCACTCCCAGTTGATATCCACATCGTTTCACAAAGTGCAATATGTCCACCTTTGACTTTATCATCGTCGGGAGTGAGTGATCTTCATTATGCCCTAACTTCGTTAGCCCTTATCCCTAATCCGTCTTGCAGGTGGTCCGTCCGGCTGCGCCCTCGCCGCCGGCCTCGCTAATTCCACCGCAAGACCCCGTGTCCTCCTCATCGAAGCAGGTGACAACAAAGATGATCGCAACCTTCGCGTCGACGGCCAGCGATGGCTGACCTTCCAGGACCAGTCAATGAACTGGGGATTCAAGACTGCTCCGCAGGCGGACTGCAACAACCGTGAGATCGACTATAGTCGCGGCCTGTGCATGGGCGGGTCAAGCTCCATCAATTTCGGCGTGTACACTATCGGCGCACGCGATGATTACCAGGAGTGGGCGAGAATTGTTGGCGATGACGCTTTTGCGTGGACAGGTGTGCAGCAAAAGTTCAAGGATCTGGAGACATTCCATGGTGAGATTCCGGAGGGCATAGATAGAAAATACGTGGCTCCGAAGACGGAGAATCATGGAGGCGAGGGCCCGTTGCATGTGGGCTTTGCGCGGGAGTGGGAACGGGATTTAACAGACCTCTTGGATGTCTTCGAGCAGGCTGGATTTCCATTGAACCCAGATCATAATTCCGGAAATCCGATTGGGATGTCGGTGCTGATTAGCTCGGCGCATAAGGGCTTGCGCTCGACAGCGGGGGATCTGGTCAAGGAGAGACTGGATAATTTGACAATTGTTACTGGAGCCCCTGTGCAGCGTGTCCTCCTCGAGGGGAAAAAGGCTGTGGGCGTTGAATCAAACGGAAATAAATGTGAAAACCTACCTTCGCTGCGAGTGACCCAGATATTAATAATTATGAACAGATTTCGCCACAAAGGAAGTCATTCTATCCGCCGGCTCGCTGAACGACCCTCGTATCCTGATGCACTCAGGCATAGGCCCCGCCGCCCAACTCCAGCAATACAAAATCCCCGTCGTCCACGATGCACCCGCTATTGGTCAGGGGCTTCGCGACCATTGCTTCGTCCCGATGGTAAACACTCGTACAGAAACCAGCACAGACCGAAAGGCCTTTTATGGCGATGAAGCCGCAATGGAAGTCGCACAGAAGCAATGGGAAGAAGACGGAACAGGACCTTGGGCGAAATTTGCCTGCGAGTTGGGCATTGGCTGGTTCAAGTTGACCGAGCAGCTCACTTCCTCGCCGGAATTCAAGGCCCTCCCTGCAGACGAACAAAAGTATCTTCTACAGGAGACCGTGCCGCACTACGAGGTCCTCACCCATTTTCCCGTTCATTGGGTCATCCCAGATTTCCCGGATGAGGCGTTGAATTACTCCTGTCTACTTGTCTTCTTGTTCAATGCGCAGACTCGCGGAGAAGTCACATTGCAGTCGTCAGATCCCGACTCTCCGCTCTCTTTCAACCCCAAGTTCCTGGCCCACCCATTCGATCGCCGACTCGCGATCGAGGCCTTGCGCGACTCATTCCGTGTCGCCAAGCACGAATCCTATACCAAGGACAACGTGGCTGAGCTGGCAATGCCCAAGGGTGAGTCAGACGAGGATTTGCTCGAGTACTGGCGGCAGAATATTTCGTCGAGCTGGCACATGACAGGAACAGTGAAGATGGGCATGAAGGATGACGTGAACGCGGTCGTGGATCCGGATTTCAAGGTGATAGGTATTGAGAATTTGCGTGTCGCGGATATGTCGGTTGTGCCGGTGTTGGTAAATGCGCATGTGCAGGCCGTTGCGTATGTCACTGGTGCAATTTGTGCAGAGAAGTTGGCGAGGGAGTATAACCTTTATTTGGATCAAAAGCACCTAGCAGTGTGAGTAGGCTCTAACGCAATGCAAATTGCGTATTCTAGTTATGTGGTGTTCTTATATAAACGGTACATATAATTGACATTGTTTTTCCTCGATCCTCAGAATAGTTAGGGAATAGTTACATAGAAATACACGTATAATATGACTAATTGTTATCAGGGGATCACGTAGCATGTTGATCAACTCCGTTCGATGTCATTGAAGGAACTATTTTCCTTCAATAATCTATGCTACCCACTTTTACGGCAATACGAAGGTACATATATTATAAATAGTAGTATTTTGAGTTTAATGTAGATTTCTGTGCCGTTAAACTTAAAGATAAGTATAATTATAACCCTATTGTTGTAATATATAGTGGGGCGCCTTAAATACATACCAGATCATACCGTGGGAGATACATAGCAGAAGATCGATCAGATAAGTTTGCGACATAGCTTTTGTTTGGATCGTTCTCTCTGTCATTTCTTCTCTTCTTCTTCCTTTTTTCTCTGGCTTTAATCTTTGAGTCAAATGGACTCTTTCCATCGATATTAGATCTGCCTTGTGACAGTACCTAGGTATTGTATGTCGTGGCCCCGATGATCATTACCAATCCTGTAAGGAGGAAGTCTAGGCATTTGCCTATCATGCCCGTAAAATCGAAGGATCGTCGGAGAGCAGACGCTTTAAAACCCAAGGAGGTTTGAAACTCGTAAGACGTAGTGCATTTAGAGTGGTATAATATGCCATTTTTGCATTATAACCCTGCACAATTATACATAGAAAGATCTGCCCTATGGTTTACTACTCTAGCTACGAAACCTGAAAGGGGAAAGCTTATCTGGAAAAAGACATCAAAAATACTACTAAAAAGACATCACGAGGCCGCATAAGCGACCGACTATTGTAATCCGACATCAATCCACCTGGTTCAAAATTATCGAGCATCTTGACTTTCTTGATATTGTGGTTCCCATCGAGGCGCTTCAATCTATGTGTCAAAATTGATCCGTGCACGAATATCATAAAATTCATGGAAATGATCCACATCCTTGAGTCTTCGTCCCTCTTCGCATCTTGACTATTCTTCTCCTCTCAAACCCCCAAGGCATGAGGCATTGGAAAGAAATTATTATGAGATGTCAATATGGGAGGACATAACCAGTAGGCCCTAAGCCGCAACATCAAATTATTATATTACAACCTTCGAACCTTTTCATTGTATATCTCGCGTTAGTCCTATAGTATTTCATTAACTTTGGTTTTGCCTGTTGATCAGGAAAGAACTACGTAGCAATTGATAATCTATATTGGTGCCCTCCCTTTTTATCCAGGAATAAGAATTTTCATGAAAGTTAAATTTCTTTCTTTCGATTCTAAACCATCAATGACTATCCAAAACCAATCTCAAGTCGAAAGTATGATACAGTACATCATGCCAAGACTGAAACCTATACCGGGGCGGACGCTGACTCCTTAGTCTCCTTCTCCCGTCCCCGAATTTTGCGTCGCTCGACGATCACAGCACCAATAATTTTAATGCAACACAAAGCCAATGGCAACAGCCACATATCCACCATTGCCTTATTGAAAGCGTCTAGGACGGCGATCTTGTCTGCCCCGTGTAACCCGTTGGTCAGAGTCATGACACCTCCGGTCATGATTTGACTAGTGTCGATACTGGGGATATCTGTTTTGGCAATGTTTTGGTCTAGGTGGTTGATGAAGAGGGATTGAGCAACGCCAGTAAAGATTGCACTATCAATAACATGGCAGTAATTTATGGCTTTATCATTTTCCCCTTCCGGTAGGATAGATTCTAGCAACACAATACCCCGACCCAATAAGAATATCCACCAAATCAAGCACATTCTGGGCGACCATAACCGGCGTTTGAGCACATACACCCATGCCAAGGCCGAAGAGAATTTGGTACCCAATCCATTTTCCCGTGCCGATGTCGATCGTGAATGTGGTGAACAGACCTGCCCCGAGGGAAATAAATTTCGAACCAAAAATGAGGAATGGCCAAATGCGGTCCGATTAGAATACCACCAAGCAGCGAGGATAGGGCATTGGCAATGCCCAGAGGAAGGGTGTCCACACCAGCGCCGAAGGGACTCGTCCCTGGAGCTCCTTGGAACCAACTGTAGATTCATTAGCGAGTCGGCTCTGTCGCGTCATGCAAGACATGGAATGTAATGGAATAAGACATACATTGGAATGTAATAGAGCAGCAAGAACGAGGCACCACTAGAGCAAAAGCAGAAGAGGCAAACGGCGGCGACACTGCGTTGTTTGAGCACACGTCCAGGCAGCATACTCTTGTCACCCTGCCAGAGCTCTAGACCGACGAATATAATTCCCAACAGAATAAAAAGAACGAGTAGAGCGATGATTCTGCCACTACCCAGGCATATGTGGTCCCACCCCATTGCAGCGCGAGAAGGAGACAGACGACGCTTCCAATCAGGGTAATGAGACCGATGAAGTCGAATCCCTTGAGGAATTCAACTAGAGAATGAAGCTGCGCCTGGAGCTTGGGTGAGTGCACAAATAGTAGGAAAATGACATAGCTGAACGCACCAACCGGAATATTAATGTAAAACTAGACCATCGTAGCCGGGTTAGCCCAGGTTACGAAGCAGGTTTAATTCCCACAGTGGACAGTAATCGATGTAACTCATATTCCATCGCCAGGTGACATTCTCGTTGAATGCGCCACCAATCAGCGGCCCAGTGGCATATCCAATGCCCATTGTACCACCGATCAATCTCATAAACAAAGGGGCCTTTTTCGGATGGGCAATGAATGGCACGAGAGAAAGGTGCCAACCAGTAAGCCCGAGCATCCAATTCCTGCCACAGCACGGCCGACAATCAGGGCTGGGGAGTTTGGAGCCGAGCCGTAAATGGCCGAGCCAGCCAAGAAAAATAGTATGGCCACTTTGTAGATATATTGAATGTGATACCAAGTGTAGAGCTTTCCATATAGTAACTGCGTGATGGATGTGGTCATAAAATAGATACTACTGTACCAGCAAATATCTTTGATAGAATTGAACTGGTCCGAAATCATGGGGACTGCTGTGGCCAGGACGGTACTGTCCTAAATGAGGAATATTAGGTTAGTTTATGGCTTGTATAGGATAAGATATATGCACTTAAGCATTGTTACCTACCAGAGTGATAATAAAAATGAAGGCACAACGAAAACGTCACTAAGGCGAACTGGAAAGGGCATAGGAGTTACAGCTTCGGTGCAGCCTCAGCTTCATTGCTTGCGTCCACTGGACTTTCAGACACTTTGAAATCTACAGCTGGCGAACTATCAATATTGTTAACAGAGTTAAAGGAAGGTTTTTCGAAGATGTGGTCGTTAGGGGCAGCCATGACAGGAGAGGTGATAGTTATCACAGTCAAATAGGTAAAATACAAATTCTCATGGTAAAAACAGCGAACAGGAACCTTTCCTATGTATTCTGTACATCATTACTACGGATTGGATTTATAATCAGAGCAGCTGCGGCTTCTAGATCTACTAGAAAGAAAAAAAGAAACAAGCAGGAGCAGGAGCAGGGGTAGTAGATTGAATTTGAATGGGGAGCTTTGATTGGTTGCAAGGCTTTAGTCTAAAACTGACGCATGGGATCATTTTAGGAACTCTGGATTGTCGTAGCGGGAGCAGCCGAAAGCTAAGTCCCCCCGATCGTCGCTACAGGGTGTACAGAGTACACTACACCTGCACATATAACATGGAGTAATCGAAAGACGAGGACCACTTTCTACCACTACTATAAAAATATTGGAGAAGAGCGACTGAATTGGCTGAACGAGTGAGACTTAGTCTGACCATAAACATCCTTGTCGCCCCCTTTAAAGTTTAGCTTGACCGCCACGGGGTAGTATAACTGCGGGTTTTTAATGAATGTCGGCGTAAGTTCCATCCGATAAAGAAGACTATAGCTAAAATGGCGTAGTCTTGGCCATCGATTGACCTAAACTGGAAGTTTCTGTACCTAGGTACCCAGTACTAGGTACCCAATAGAAAGGTTTCGAGCCTCAACAAGGTGCAACCGCGGGATAAATGATGCCCCGAAAATTGAAGAGGTCGCCAAGGTTCCGTATATGGAGATAATGAGATGACAGATAGGATTATAATATTCACCATAGACGTTCATACCTATTCCACGAGAAGCAGGGTGCGGTTCAAGCAATTAACCTAGAAAGAACGAACAATGACAATAGACTTTAGACCCGATGTGCCTCGATGCGACATGCCTAAACCTCAAACAAGGACTATATCCGATGCACATTATTGGCATGGTCTGTCGGTGGGTGGAGACGCCAGCAGCCCGTCTAAGCTATGGGAGCTGTGCATTTCGGCTCGAGATTCCTGGAGCACTATCCCGTAGGAGCGCTTCAATGCTAAAGCACCATAATATCCTAACAGGGAGCGAGTCGGTCAAGCCATATCCTCCTTGATTTTGGAATGGATACGGAAGAGTGGACAGATGACCATGTCCACCACGTTGTCCAGGTATTTCAACGAGACCGTGTGGTAGGAATTGCCCAGGGAATCTTCACCAAAAAAAAGCACAGGCGCTTTATACCAGCATAGCCAAGATCCCCGAAAGCGTGAAAGGGGCAGAAGCTGCTGCACTTCCACCGCCTTTCATAGCAGCCTACTACGCCCTGACCAGTCTTGCTGCTCTCCAGTCCGGGGAATCTGTACTCATTCACGATGCTGCCAGTGATGTTGGCCAAGCTACGATCGTGCTCAGTCAACAATTGGGTGCAACCATCTTTACTCTCAGCAAGTCTTCGGCCGACGCGTAGCTTCTCACCAAAACACACCGTCTCGCGGCTGGACAGTTCCTTCATAGCGGTGCAATTCCAGGGATTGATTGCAATTCCTAAATTATTGAACAACAACATTCCCTGTCCCACACAACCTGATACATACGACCATAGGGTGTGGAAAACAGGGCTTCCCGTCCGCTCAGCCGTACTTAAGCCACACGCCGGTGAGTTAGTAGTTGGGTGGGTGACTACCAGCGAATCCTCACTGTTGTATGTTCATATTTCTTTTTTGCTACCCATTTTGTAGATATATTCCCTCTCAATGACAGTGGAATGGAACGATGAACCCTTTCAAGACCCAGTAAAGAGGGTGAAATTTTGTACAAGCACACGGATGATTAGGTTAGCCGAATCACTCAAATTAAGGACTGCTCCACCATATGCCAACCAGGAGAGAACATTTACAGATATGATGGGCCAATGCGAAAATTTCTTCCAATAATTGCTTTGCTTCGCTCCGCAATTAAATCATAGCCTCATGTGCATGTCACGTGAACGTTCTCTTCTCCTATTCCAAAATCATTAGTTTCAATGCGGTGAAAAAGTAATCGGCTAACTTCGGTAGAATAATCTAACCGGTAGAATAAATATAGACTAGGCCTAATCTTGCTAGACGATAATTTCTATTACATGCTATAGGCTAGTTACTAAAGTGGTTACTAAAGTGGTTACTAAAGTGGTTACTCAAATGGTTGCTCGAGTGGTTTCTCAAGCGGATGCTTAAGCAGTTGATTGAGCAGTTATTAATGATATGATAAAAGGGACTTATTTTTATTAGTAGTTTACATACAAATTGTAGGTACTTGCTGTCTTACTACTACTATAGCAGGAAATATGCCGTCTATACCTTGCTTTCCTTCTTTTAGGCGAGGAGAGCTGGGACCACAGTACAGTGTTGTTCGCTGAATTTCTTCAAAGCTTCTAGCTCCAAATGCTGACGGGGTGGAGCTGCCTATTGTTGTCGAAGCTGGGGGAGCTGGGACTCTGTTCCGGGGTTGGGAACCTAAAAGTAAATTCTCATGAATGCCTTCTTGCTACTAGCTGTCGCACTGTAGCAGAGGTACTTGAACACGGCGAAGGAAGGTCCACCACCCGACTCAAGTTCACGGTTGGTGATATTTTGGAAATCCTCGGTGAGCTTCTCCTCGAGAACCCACTGCTGAGGCGAGGGAGTGGTCTCCTCCTCAGCCCCGCAGCAGTCCGCTTCTACTAGGGAACATTGCAGAGCCAGCAGGTATCTCTGGCGGATCATAAAGAATCTGGCATTTTCTCACATCTGGTGGTAAAAGAAATCCACCTTTGAGACGAAATCCTGTAACATCCGTCTTTGGTGGACCGCGATGATCTTCGTTAAGGGCAGCTGGGGAGCATAGCGGCGTCTCGAAGTTCTGGAACAAATGTTCTATCTGAAAACAAACCGAGGCATCAGGCTGTGCCGGAGATGCCAGCTAGGGTGGCATTATCATACTCTGTCCTCCATAGGATAGAGACACTTTGGGATTGCAGATATTTATCCCAGAGATACTGGGATCCCTCAACAATAGCTTGTTGTGCACATGTTGATACCCTCGTCCCTATCCTGCGGATTTTGTTCCCTGTTGAGACGTTGAAACCCGTCACAAAGAAGGACTTGCCATCTGACACATCCTGGAGGATGTCGTACCGCAGGCGTAAGCAATTGAAACTGTCTGCAAATCCATCATGGAGCCAGGAATCTTTGATATCGGAGCGGTTCTTGAAGAGAATCGCAATGAACCCACTTATGAACACCCGGACGTCGAGCGTACACGGATCCCGTAATAGGTGTAGATCATCTTGAGAAAGGAATTTGCGAGGTTTTAGGATAACATTGAGAGGGTCGTCCTGGACTTTGGGCAAATTATGCAATGCCAGCTAGACCCTGACGAAGAAGCTGCCACGGTATGAGCCGCCGGTAAAGAATTTGTAGAAGACGATGAACGGCGAGAGGACTGTAAAATTGGGGTTTGAACGGCTGCTCGATAGATGGACATGCCTTGGTCCTATTCCATTCGAATATATCGGTACTTATAGAGTTAGTAGAGAATTTTCATTGCCAGGAAGGTGCCGCTTACTGGGAACCCAAATCTCATCTCTTTACGCAGATTGTGTGTGCTCCGTGGCATCAAACCTGGCTGTCGCGAATGTGTACTTATACATTGTACGCTTGGTAAAGACCGTACTGGGATGGTTTTTGCACTCTTATTTCTCCTTGCTGGGGTGTCCGATACCGTTATCGCCAGCGAGTACGGCCTCAGCACAGAAGGCCTTGCAGGGTGTGTTGACAGCATTGAGAGCTATTTGAATCATGCTACCGAAAATCGTGATGACGCAAGGAAAAAGCCGAAGAGATCATTGTTGCCAAGTCTGTTTCTCCATATTTGTGAATTTGATCAGTCATCTGACTCGAAATCTAGAGAAGAGAACATGATTGCGAGAATTAAGGGCATTCGGGACGAGTATGGCACGGCAGAAAACTATTTTCTGCGGGAACGCGGCCTTTCTGACGAAGATCTGCGATGCTCCAGATCAATTTTACTAGCAGGCGACGACTTGAACATTCCAACAGCTAAAGGGGGAAGAAGTCAACAGTCGGCATTCACGTGAATGCAGGAAGCGACATTGCGTAGGCTGCTGCCGATATGGTGTTAACGAGAGCAAATAAGTAGATGTGAACTGATTCAGCAGAGTTACATAGAATATGTTTCTATTTGATAAAGGATCTATTAAAAATACATGATAATGCATGCCTTCACATATCCATCCACAATAATTACAAACCTCCGAATTCCGAAAATGTACGAAGACACCCAAATTAATTAGGAACTGGCCTCAAGCTCACTCAGAATCTCATCAGCGGCCTTCTCGGCGACCATGTAAGTAGAAAGCGCGGTGAAAGTACCGGGGACTTTGGGGTAAACGGAAGCATCAACGACACGAAGACCAGAGACACCGCGGACACGGAATTTGGAGTCCAAGACAGCCATCGCGTCATCATCAGCACCAATGGGGCAAGTGCAGGATGCATGGTGACCCCAAGTACCATCCTTGATGTAATCGATGATGTCTTCCTTGGATTGGACATCAGGGCCAGGGAGAACCTCAGTGATGTTGACGGCCTGGCGCTTGAACGCGTCACGGGCAAGCTGGACAGCTTCGTACATAGCAGTGAGATCAGCCTCGTAGTCGCCGACACCAGTGTCGAAGTAGTTGAAGGTGATCTTAGGCATGTCAAGAGGATCAGCGGACTGCAGAACGACGGTTCCGGCAGAGTTGCGGGGGTGAGACTTGAGAATAGCCCAGGTAAACCAGTTGTGTTCGTCAGTCGCATTGATACTGTAGTCGGGGAAGTAGCCACGGAAGTTAACAGGGCCACCGAATTCGAAAATGTCGAAGTCATCAGTGGCCGTGGAGCTCTTGTATAGCATGGTGGCGGCGAGACCGGGGGATGAGTAAATTCCGTGGTCGCCAAGAACAGGAGACTCCCAATCACTGATGCAAGGGTCCGCCTGGTCGCGAATGCTGAAGGTGCACGTGTCCAAGCAGGAGAAGTCCTCCTCGACCTGGCCCTGAACGGAGATCTCATAGTGGTCCTGGAGGTTGGTGCCGACACCGGGGAGATCCTTGATGACCTTGATACCGAACTTCTCGAGTTCCTCGGCGGGTCCGATACCACTCAGCTTGAGGATCTGGGGAGAGTTGTATACTCCACCGGCAACGATGACTTCACGAGAAGCGGTGGCGGAACCGGGGGTACCAGAAACAGCGGAGTTCGACAGAGGACTGGCCCTGTAGAGGTGCTCGCCATCGAGGAACTCCACACCGGTGGCACGGGGTGGGGTTTCGGTCTCATTGAAGGTCACCTTGGTGACGTGGGTGTTCATGCGGACATCAAGAGGGTACTTCTTAGAGCCATCGTCATTCGTAGCATCGCGTACAGAGATGATGAATTCACGGGCACCATTGCGGTGAGCGTCGTCGGTGGAGATAGGGATCTGGTAGTAACCGGGCTCGGTGTCACGGGTCTCCGTGTCAGCATTGGCATCGCCAACTAGCAGAGTGCCAAGGTTCATAACTTGATCGGTCGTGTTACCGAGCGCAAAGGCACCACCGGTGAGCAAGCTCAGCAACTGGGTATCCTCTAAGACAATGCTGAGGGGCGCGGTTTCGGTCGACAACCAGCCGTCGTAACCGTGGCCCTCAACTGCGGGAAGAGAGTAACCGTTGTTCTCCAGCTTAGTGAAGTACTTGCGCATATTGTCGGGTGCCCAAGAGCTATCGTTGGTGATAGTCTGAATGTATTCAAAGTCAGACTGGTAAGGATAGACTGCAATCAAAGCGTTGTGGGCAGTGCAACCACCGAGGGTACCTGTACGAGGGTAGAGGGTTCCCTTCAAGGTCGAGCCCTCGGGAGGGTTGAGGCCAGTGTATATCCCGCCATCGGGCGTATCATAGCTAGTCTTCCAATCGCGAGCCTGACGCTCGTCATCTTCGTAGTGGTGGACGAAAAAGTTCCACGAAAGCTTCTCGTCTTCGGAGGCTCTGGCGGAGTAGGCAGGGATGGTGTAGTTGTAGGTTTCACCCTGGTCATCACCAGCCTCAATGAGCAGTGTCTTGTGACCAGCCAAAGCAAGTCGGGCTGCCAGAGGACCACCACCAGCACCGGAACCGACAATGACATATTCATAACCGGTGAGTTCCACAGCCTTGGCCACGCCGGACGTGGCGACCAGCAGGCCAAAGATATAAGCAAGAATCATATTGACAAAGAAGGACTTTGAGTGACTTGACCTTGCAGAAGAGATATCACCCAGCTTTTATGCATGGGGTTTCCCCTGAACAACGGGGATGGTTCACGTCGTTCTCCATTTTTATCAAAGCCGTTGAATACTTGGCGTGCCTCGGTCTCCACTAGCTCATGGTGATCTACACGGAGACAGCTGAGCCTAGTACTTTTCTAGGACAATTCCCGAACGATCATCAGTAGTTTAATGCGTAAACCTTACATCGATGCAGATCATCAAGACGGATCCACATGTTTCGGGGGTTTCTCCTTTCCAGAACGAAGCATCACTAGCAGTTCGCTATTGCCGAGACAGTGCGGATAATTTTTCTCAAAGCTGAGACATTTTAATCCCTGCCATCTGGATGCTCAATACCATGTTAATCCATGTCATTTGGAGGCTCAATATGTTAAGTGGCAGGCTTTCATCAAAAGGGGGAAGTCAATTCAAGATTCTATACGAGGTAGATCAGAGAGAGGAGCAGGCACCCAAAATGGCAAAAGAGGGAAAACCCCACATCTGCAAAGAATGCAAACATCGAGTGATAATCCTCTGCCGAGGCAGATGACAAGACATGCTCTACCGAGTCCACCTTGGCCAACCCCACCAGGACTAAGAAATGGCCGCCAAAAGCTCGTTAGGCCATGCATGTTCGCTCGTATTATTCCGAAGAAGACCGGTTTGATCAACGGAGAAAGAAAGCAGAGTATCTGACATAGGCTTGCGCCTGTACTCCGTACTGTGCGGAAAGAGAGCGTAGGCGGTGTGGTCATCGGAGGCCTTAGCTACTTCCGGCTAGATCAATATGACTGTCGCTCCGCAAATGTTGAAGGGTCAATTATTGCGAAAAAAGGATCGACTGTCAACTGTGGGATGTATTGAATCGACAGTAATGGGAGTGATCCCCCGGAAGATGTGCGTGATATGCACATAAAAAGATGTCCAAAGATGCGACAAGCATGACCAAACGGCGTTCGGTGCCCAGGAAGAAAGGGAATTGCCTTCCTTAGCCAGCGACACTGCTTACGCTGGCGGTCGGTAGGATCGCTGACACTACGGAGTAGACCCGCAGTTATTTAATGGCAAACTTAGTGGGGAAAAGAAGATCAGAACGATGAATATGGGTAAAAGGAGATTTATCTCGCCAAAGGCAGACCTCAGGCAGTTACAGAAATTCATCATGAACTGAAGGGGTGGAAGCGTATTTAGAAACACTTTCGTCTTAGTTTTGAGGCAAGCTTTACGTCAATCACCTGATCAAATAATAGGTATCAATGACGTAGGGAAGGATGTAGTCTGCTCTATCTACTATGGGATGTAGGATACTGTAAGGGGGAAGGAGACTGGAGAAGAATATGAGCTTGCGTTGGCTTCACCAAAAGGCTACTAGTCAACAGCACCACGGAGAGGTCCAAGCTCGTGGCTGTTGGATCCCCTGGGAGCATACTGCTGTCCCAGGAGACCCCGGTCTTCCCAGAAGACCGGCCGAGTTACCCCCTTTGGAGCTAACCCGGGTGTCGAAGTCGCTGGTGTCGGGCACTACAGACTCACGTCTAGCAGAATCTGGGTTGGCATCTGATCGGCTGCGTGTCGAGGTGGTCGGCACTGCAGACTCACGTCTAGCAGAATCTGGGTTGGCATCTGATCGGCTGCGTGTCGAGGTGGTCGGCACTGCGGACTCACGTCTAGCAGAATCTGGGCTGGCGTCTGGTCGGCAGGATGGTTGTAGGAAGAAGAAAAGGGAGAAAAGAAGGGGGGGAAGAGCGCCCCTTATATATTGGCTTGCGGCCTCAGGTAGCACTCGTGGACCAAGGATAGAAAACGGAAGATTTGAGTTTCACCTTCCCAAAACGTACTAGTAGCTACTTTATTGAAGGTTAAATCCACTGCAACTACGGAGTAGTAGTTAGGGTTTACTATCGGAGCTGTACACTTTAGAGGGTTGCTCTGGCTCTATTACTTTTGTTTGGGAATAAATTCACTCATAATACTGGAGGTCTATAGCTGTACCATAATTTGAAGATTCAGTCATCAATACTAGAAGAAAAGAAGAAACAACGTTGGGTACTGAGATTTGTTCATAACCACCCTGTAATATGTGGGTACAGTGTTGCCTCACTTTCCTTGGAGATATACTGTTCTACTCCCCGGCTTCAGTGGCCATGTCCTGCGGTCCCCATCCACTTGGTCAATAATCGGAGTGGATCATTAGTTGGAGTTAAATCTACTTCTAGGCTTTGATTTATGTTTTACTGCAAACCTACTTCATGCATTTGATGGTGTTCCATATTCCCATACGGAGTCGGACACACGTTGACAAGTTGGCAATTCGCTCGTACAACATAGAGTCCGAGTGGCGCAACACCGCAATGATTGGATTCGACCGTGTCTGCCTCGATATTCGAGATATATGAGGTCACACGTGGAAGATGGACACATCGCTCGAAGTCTAGAGCAACATCGGAACCTTGGAAGCTCCCCTATGGGTAACCATCCGGATGACTTGCTGGTCTTGGAACGAATTATTTTGCTACATTGACTACGCAGGTAAATTCCCCGACGGCAGATATGGACCGGTCTGCTAGATTTAATTTGTAAAAGAAATAGATAGTTGGAAGGCATCGCTATCCTACTTCCAAATTTTCTCCCCCGCAACCAAATCAAAGCTCCGCTCGTCTGGATGCTTTTTCTTTTCTTTTTAATACTGGTGGTGTTAATGAGAGAAAGCAAATTATTGATATGTCAGGATCTCAACCTAACTGTACCCCCGCGTGCAAACTTTTTTGCTCTTTGGTTCTCAGATATCGAGGCCCTTTGAAAGTGTAAGGTAAAAAAGCCCGTGGCCGAATCCAGGCACGGGTTATCCTGGGGCTAATGCCTCGGGCAGACCGTCAAGCCTAAATAAAGTAAGACATGCCCTTCTCCACTTTCCTTCTCTCCTCCAGCCAGTTTCATCAAGCATTTTCAACAACACTTTCTTTTCAATATGGAACCTCTTGATGACCAGAACATTTTTTCCGAGTTCGAAGATGAGGAGAGAAGGCAGCTCATCGAGGAGCTGATACGTCAGGACCCTAGACTAGCGGAACTCCCGCGTACGAACTTTTTTACTCTTTGGTTCTCGGATATTGAAGTCCTTCGGGTGTTTGCCAACGTGCTTCAGAGGGGTGATCCCAATTTCAAATGGCGAAAATATCTTTTGTCCACCCCCGACCCAAGTGATGTACCTGGAGTCTGTAAGTGCATCATCGTGCATCAGAAAATGCCTCTGTGGTAACAAGACAATAAGCTAAAAATTGATATACAAAACAGTCGCATCAAGTAAGCAGGCCAATAAGTCGTCCTCGAAAGGCAAATCTTCCTCCGGGTCTAGATTGCCTGTACCAGCTCAAAGCCCCGCGGGCAGGACTCGCTCCACGTCTCCTCGAAAGGGCCAGCCGGGTCTCCGCGAGCGTTCGATTAACACGCCACGTACTTCTTGGGATGACCAGCAAAACCCCCTCGGTGAATCGTCAACTTCCGTTCAGCAAAGCCCCTCCCTTGGTCAGGATTTGACTTTGGTTCATCCAGAAAGACAAAGGCGAGACGACGCTATGAAGAAGAAGATACTCTGATCGAGAACATTGAGACAGGATAATGCTAACTTCCTTGCCCTTTAGTGCCTGGAGCGAGATAGTAACAGGTGCATCATAACCAAGCGCGATCACCCCGGGATTCAGTGTGCCCATATCATTCCCTACAAATTGAACGGTTCCAGCACCCGGGGTGCAACCTGGGAATGGCTCGAAAATTTCTGGGGTGAGGCTCGCGCCGACAGGTGGAAGGCTGAGCTCCTCGGTGGCTCAAATCACCAGATCAATACCGAACAGGTCAAGAACATAACTACTGGGATAATTGCCTGTATGCTTTCCGCCACTTGAGAACTTACGAGCAGGACACGAAAGTGGACATTGCGTTCCATTGGTTGCCTCTTCGCGGGAGTGAGAAGCGAACCGACATTATCCCCACTATGTCCCATCCATTCCCTAATCAACCCCAAGGATATGCCACATCTCCAGGTGGCAACAGATAGTTGTTGCATTGTGAATCTTTGAACCTTATCTCCCCCGGACACATTTTCACTGTGACAACCACAAACCCAGTGACTCATCCACTTCCATCGGAGGAGTTATTGAAAATGCAATGGATCCTGAGTCGCATCGCTAGTAGCTGGTGAAGACGAGGACAGCGACCTTGACTCCGATGATGATTCCGTCGCTTTTACTTCCCGCTCGAGATCTCCGAACCCACTGAGCAATTGAAGCTCAGAGCAAGGAGCTCGTATACTCTCTGAGAACATGCCTTTCATTAAAGCCACTAGTTAGTTACCGAGTATGTTGACTAAGAGCTTTCCTCGTTCCATCGCCCAAGTTGAAAGTATGGCTAGATAACGCATTTCTCACGTCAATATCGGTCATCCACCAAGACTGTGGTCTTTAGAACTACTCCTGTTGAAGGAGAAAGGAAAAGTGGAGTGAGAGTGAGAGTGAAGTGAAAGTGAGAGAGAAACGAGAGATGTCTAGTTAGAGCGAAATAGCAGTCCACAAAACACGGTTGTTTATGAGCCCGGTGCATTAGGTCTACCTTAATAATATGCGAAAGATGACAGTAAAAAACGTGATGGTAAGATTGGAAGAGCTAGTATTTCAAGAGAAGCTACACGAATGAGCTTGCGTTGGCTTTACCGGAAAGGCTACTAGTCAATAGCACCGCATAGAGGTCCAAGCTCGTGGCTATTGGATCTTCTGCCCAGGGATATGACACATCTCCAGGTGGCAACAGATATCTCTTGCATTACGAAACGCTGACCTGAAACTTGTATCCTCCAGGCAAACTTTCACCGTGACAACCACAGACCCAGTGACTCGTCCACTTCCAACAGAGGAATGGTTGGAAATTTAGGACAGCGACTTTGACTCCTACGATAATACCGTAGCCGTTACTTCTGGCTCAATATCTCCAACCAAGGAGGCACTAACATGACTTGCTTCGGGGAACGACCGACCTTTGCACCCTCTCGATGAAACACAACTGACCAAAACATGGCTAAACCAGATGCCGATCGTGAGGCAATGCCACCCGCTCAAATTTCCCCTGGACAATTGAACCTCGGGTCTCCAATAGGATCCCCGAGCAAGGGACCCCTGCTGCTCTGTCCATATCCTCCTTACAACTTTCAACTGCGGCGCTATAGGTCTAATTTTGCCCTCCTTGGCGCTATGCTAGGACTCCACCGCCGCGGAATGGACGACCACCGTAAACTCGGTCAGATGGCCGTGAAGAAGCATGGGACGTTTGTCTCCTCTCCACCCGCCCGACCGAAACTCAAATCGGCCGTCGTAAGAAGACCCTAAAACCCGCGCCTCTGAAGCACCGACGCCGTACCTCTGACTCGCAATGATATGTCCCCTTTCCCTTTTGCTGTTTTGCACTCGTTTTCTGCTCTGGTCCGTCTGAACCCGCATATCCACCTATTTGGTATTTGGCACTTGAGCTTGTACAACTTATGCTGTGAGACGGGATCTAGTTGAAAATATAAAAAGAGCCTCTAGTCCCAATTTTCTATTCTATCTTATTCGCAGTATTTATTAGTAGTGTAAATAATTGACTTATTTATATGCACCTGTATTTCTATGATTCTGTGAAACTCCTCCGTCGTGACAAGGACATCGGATTCTTCTTGTGCCAGGACTCTATCGTACAGAGTATGGAATTGTAAGACAAGAAGATCTCCGGCAATTGCTTGCTGTGCGATGTTGATTTCCTGGGCACAATATGGCTGCTGGAAAGTAGGAATCTGAGGGTATAGCAGCCTGCTTATTTGATGCGACTGCTTTGTATGTCAATTGTCAGCTTGTTATCATATTGTCACGGAGGCACTTGCTGATGCACGATGTACTTACAGATTCCAGGTATATCACCCCTCTGGAGCACGCTTGTAAGTTGCCGCAGGACTTCGATATCTGAGACCCAAAGAGGGAAAAAGCTTGAACGCGGGATTTCAGCGAGACTGAGGTCCTGGCATATCAACTCCTTAATGAGCTTCTTCTTCTCCTCCTCTTCAAACTCGGAAAACTGTTCTTATCATCACCTCCATATTGAAAAGGATACCAAGTGATCTTCCTGAAACGGATGAAAAGGGAAAGTGGAGAATAGCGGGTCTTGCCTCAGCCTTCACGTCTGCCTGAGGCATCCGCCCCACAAAAACCGTTGCCTGGATTCGACCACGGACATGATCTCCTACTTAACCCGACGCCCAACCTATCAGCGCATATGGTTGTGTAGTTAGTTCTTTGTTTTCGTGCTATTTGGGCTCTCAGCCCTCTTATACTCAACAAATAGAACTCTGTTGATCATGTTCTGGATATCCGTAGGGACAATGTTGGCACGAGCCCGCGAGGGTTCACGTATGGTTCTCTTTCGATACCATAGTCCTCTTGCAGGGGGAGATCAGAGCGCAGAATCTGAGTCCATGAATGGTCGATTCTATCCTCTTTTCATCGGCCAGAATGAAAAGATTGCCAAGTGATCTTGGCGAAACTGTTGGGAGCTGAAGGAGTGGAGAAGAGCGGGTCTCTGGCTACTACCTGCTTCGGGCAGGGCCAGAACAGCCGATGTTTCTCGTATGTTGTATGGACTTTTAGATATCTTCTTTCGGGTATTCGGAATTAGCCGTAAAATAAAACGGGGAGAAAACAGTGGATGGGGATTGGCTTATAATTCGGTCCTCTTATCACTCCGAGAGCTTGACGCTTGTAATGTATATAAAGTAATAGAGAAGTGAGAGTGAGAGTAAGAGTGAAGTAAGAGTGAAGTAAGAGTGAGAGTGAGAGTGAGAGAGGAAAGAGGGATGTACTTAGACGAAATGCAGTCCATAAAACACGGTTGTTCGTGAGCCCGGTGCGTTAGGTCCACCTCCGATATAACTGGGAATACCAGTGCAGCATTCAGGCCTCGGCCTCATCGACCGATACCGTATCTTATACGGAGTACAGCCAATCATAACTTACTCGGCCGTACAGCGCGGAATGTCACAGATCATAAGATCCAACCCTAACCCTATCACTCGACTACAGGATACAACAGTTCATCGACGAAAGCAGCATTGGTATATTGTAATTTCAAGAAAATAGACAAAGGAAATAGTTGATAGCATTAGATATTATTACAACCCTTTAGCTGGCCCAACAATAGTCGTAGAGACTTGGTATGACGCATAGTGTGAGCGCCCATCTTGCGACTGATCATTCAACGACAATCCATCCGCCGACCCTGGTATTTGATCCAGTCGCGTGAGGGGGAATTCACTATCCTCCTCATCCATGCCATGCCCCCGTTTTACTGTACTGTTCTTGCTCAGGCTGGTAGGTCCTCCTGTGAACGGTTGCGACGAGTATCCATCATGACTGCCAAACAAGGACGGGAAAGCAGCCTTGAGAATTGGACGGAGCATGGGCGCGCAGGCATTTCCAATGGCAAGAGCAGGCTCTGTAACACTCCAGAAGGCAGCCCAGATCATCGAGTAAGACAGATCGGTGAAATCAACCGTGGTGAGGACACGGATACGGATGATGGTGATGGAGGAAATACTATGATACTCGTTAGAACTTTGCTTTGCGATGGCGAACCTGGGGGGAGGAGAAAGCTTACAAGGCACCCAATCCAAAGATCCCAACCAATCCCATCTTAGTCGCAACCGACATATTCAGGTTCCAGACAAAGCGAACTGGCAACGCCACGATGATCATATCGGTGATCAGGTTAAAGGCTCCAATCGTCGAAAATGCCACGTTCTGATTCGCGCAGTGGCCCGGCAGAGTAGGATTCCAGTTCCTCGCAAAGGGTGTGCAGATCAAGAAAACCTGCAGCATACTCCCAACCCAGTATGCGGCCGAAAAGCCTATACAGGTCCACGTCAGGATGCGGAATTCCCTGGACACAAAGATCCGCAAGTAGAAGGCTAGGTAGGAGAACTTCGCCAGGACCATGGCATTGTAGTAGACGATCTGGTAGACCATGAGCATCTTAGCGATCACTACAGCATTCTCTGAGGGAATCTCCGTGATGTGGTATCGCATCCCCACCCGAGCGTAGTGGTACTGCATTGCGAGCATGCCATATGTGTGGAATAGTCCTGCAACGCAGAATGCATCATCCCATCCTGCACCGGTTTTTCGGAGTCGGCGGGAGACACCACGCAATATCACGAGTAGGGTTGCGATTGCGACGAGGACCGTGTTAGCGATGAGCTGATCGCGCACGATGGGGAAGCCAAAGACATTGTATAACTGCATTTTCCCATTAACTCATCCGTTTTCGGTTTTTGGTGTGCTGTACAACATGTACACTTGGGGCATATATGGTTGCAAAGGGTGAAGGATCTTTAAGAGCCGTGAAGAACTGTCAGTCGCCGGGTAACAGCAACATTGTCTCCGTCAATTGTACAAAGTACTATGCACTACGGTTTCAAACTAGCCACTCATTGGCCTGTCAAGGTGATCAGCAGGAGATTATGGAGCCGTTATGGCGGGCCGTTTTATTTTAACCCAAATTAATTTCCCAGAGTGGACTTGCAGAGAGAATAAAGTGGCTGTCATTGGAACGAATGTCAACCTAGTTAGGGCCAAGCCAAACTTGTAAAGACTATTTCTCCTATTATGTCCATGGGCTTCGGCTATTAACAAATAACGGCCTCGGTACACTCCACCCCCGTACACCTCCTTGTTTCTAGGGGCACTAACTTCACTGAGGTAAATAACGTCGGGAACAATTTACGGAGTATGAGCTAGTAACAGCCACCAAGCCGACGGGATACGAAACCCTAGAAATGCCGCGTGGACTTTTTTATCTGCTGGCAGTCGATTGTCCGACTCTCGATCTTAAATATTTCTATTATTGTCATTTCCCCTCCATACTGGAAAAAGATTCAAGTTTTTTTAACTAGTTACTTACAACATGGATGACTACGACTATATCATCATCGGCGCTGGAATCGGCGGTCTTGTTCTGGCAAACCGTCTAAGCGAGGATCCCTCCGTCAGTGTCCTGCTCATTGAAGCTGGCGCCAATCGGATGGGAGATCCGCGTATTGATACGCCTGGATTGATGGCTACCATGTATGGTAACCCGGACTTTGACTGGGATTACATGAGTATTCCGCAGGTATGCCCGTCTTAAACATCGCCTTCTCGGATGAAAACCTGATTAATGAAAAGGTCCATGTGAAAAACCGACAGATCGGTCAGCCCCGCGGTCGGGTCGTCGGCGGCTCTTCCGCATTGAACTTTTCCGCTATTGTGTACCCTGCCGCGTCGAATTTTGACGCGTGGAAGGCGCTAGGAAATGACGGTTGGAGTGCCAAGGATATGGCCCCCTATCTTCGAAAGTTCCACTCGTATGTCGCCCCTAGCGAGGCCACTGCCGAACTACTCGGCACAAGCCGGTACATGCAACTCGAGAACCAAGGATCGAATGGTCCTCTTCCTGTAACTTACCCAGATATATATGGGCCATTCCACAAGGCCTGGAATGAGACATTTGCGCAATTGGGCTGGGAAACCGATGCCGACCCTATTGATGGCCACAAACTCGGCGCTTTTACTTCCCCGATAAGCGTCGATGTCAAGACGGGTAAAAGAGGGTATGCAGCGGCATACTACTCCCCCGAGGTCGCGGCGCGGCCAAACCTACGGCTTCTTGCAGAGACAATGGTCGAGCGAATTATCCTCTCCCAACAGGAGGGAGATGTCGTTGCCACTGGTGTGCAGGTCAAGACTCAGGACAGTTCATACGAGATCAAGGCAAAGAAGGAAGTGATCGTCTGCGCAGGCAGCCTGAATTCCCCTCAGGTGCTCGAGCTCTCGGGTATCGGCGGTGCAGATCTTCTCCAGACCCACGGCATCCCGGTGATCATCGACAACCCCGCCGTGGGCGAGAATCTTCAAGATCACAGTATCGCGAGCGTCAACTTTGAGATCGCCGATGGCCAGATCTCGGGCGATATCATGCGTGATCCCAACGTCGTACAGGCAGTCATGAAGCTCTACGAGGAGACGCGCGGAGGCCCGCTAACCGGCATACCTCTCAACATGGCCTATCTCCCGCTAGTAGATGGAACCGGCGTCGTGCCGAAAGAAGAACTCGACGCCCTGCTCTCGAAATACCTCGACAACGACAGCACACCAGCTAGCCTGCAAGCGCAATATTCTCAAATCCGCAGTATACTCCTCGACCGGAACGAGAACTCCACGCACTACCTCTTCCTCCCTGCCCAGCTCAACGGGAAACCAGACCAAACAACCATCACCGACGTGCTGGCCAAAGTTCACCCGGAGAACTACATTTCCATCATGGTGCTGCACAACCACCCGTTCTCACGCGGCTCGGTCCACATTGCCTCCGGCAAGAGTGAAGATAAGCCCACCTACGACCCAAACCTGCTCTCTCACCCGCTTGATCTGGAGATCATGGCCCGGCAGGTGCAGTACATGGGGCGCGTTTCCGAGACTGCTCCACTCTCTGGTCTGCTCAAATCCGGCAAGCGCATGCCTCAGAGTGCCATCGATTTGAGTGATCTGGACCATGTGAAGGATGTCGTTCAGGATCTCTTGTTCACGTGTTTCCATCCTGTGGGCTCGTGTGCCATGCTGCCGAGGGAGCTTGGCGGCGTTGTTGATTCTGAGCTCAGGGTTTATGGCACCAAGAACGTGAGGGTTGTTGATGCCAGTATTTTCCCGCTTGAGATCGCTGGAAATATCCAGGCTACTGTTTATGCGGTTGCGGAGCACGCAGCGGATTTGATCAAATCCCAGTAGTCGGGTTTGGGGCTTTAGATTGCGTGACAACTAGATATGGGACATTACCTCTAGTTGTAGATACCTCCTGATAGGACATGTTCATTCTGCAGATTGTATCTAGGCAAATGGAGACTATGGTTTTACAGCGCGAAAGTCTAAATGTTTAACAACAAGCTAAGGTTACGAGGCCGAATGCGGGTGGGCTCAGTACCTCTGTACTGAGTGTTACTAAGTATGGATGATTGATTGGTTAAAGAACTAATGATAGCGACAGAAACTGGGGTTGCACAACCCCTCCGAGGTTTCTCCGCTGCATGGCAGAAGGTTTTCACGGTTAGGCTCGGTCGGCTCGGGCCGGTTACTCGATCGATAATCTAAATTAGACAGACAGGTCCAGAAATTGGGGGCGGGATCAGAGGACCCATTTTCGGACATAGACTCAGGTGACTTTGATATTGTGAAAAACTATGAACGAGCAGTTTTATAGGATGTTCTTCAAGCCACTCTCGGGTTTAGTTTCATCCACTCTCCCGATACTAATCGACACTTATCGACGCACTGGATGAATGTGATTCGGATGATGATATGCAACTCATACTCTGATTCACAGCTACAAGATTTAGAGGCTCTGCATGTGCGTGTGTTATTTTCTTGTCCAGGCCTAAATCGCCAATTCTCCAAGAACTATCAACGATCCCCAATGAATACGAAGGATCCTTTTTGAGATTCCCAAAGCAGTGATGACAACATCAGAGAATCAAGTGTCTAATGGCAACTATCTCATTCCATAGTTGTCTCCCAACCTTTTTCAGGTATAACATCAACCCAATAAGCATATATTTGTTCTTAGAGCACCGACTTTTTGCTGTGTGGATGGACCCCCCACCCCTTGCCTACCGATTGGTTTGGGAACGCTAATTTTCAATAGCTAACTAGTGTGTCCGTGCGATCGTCCGTGTGATTGCTTAAATTTGTTGCTACATACCACATACCGTATACTTGAAGATCTCTATTGAGACCTAAAGCATAGCCTCGATGAGGTATCGACACGTAGAAATGATACATCTAATGTACCTTCCTGTGCTCGAGAGGTTATCGGCAAATGAGGCGGGACACAGCTAAAAGCAAATGGCTCATCAATTTTAGCAGGTGATCCAATCGTGGTACTAAGACCCATTCATCTCGCTTGTAAACCTTATTTTATTGGCCTCCCTCGGAGTCTTGTCAATCTCAGACTAATCTCACTACATTTGGGTCAAGTGATCAGAATTTGCCGGTCTTTTTGATCCAAAAACGCACTCAATAGAATCTACTCTATCAGACTCTGATCCTGCCTCTATCGTATTATCATTGGAGAACTACATGGGCTTTTCTGCAGTATGGCAATAAGATAACCTCATACATTCGGCCGTTAAGATATAGCTCATGCGACATTTATCTGGTTGTTCCTTTCTTTCCTTGCCCATCTATGTATATCCTCTATCTCTCGGACACTGATGTAGACTTATTGACTCGCATATCATTTTCCCCTGCTATATAAGCTCTTCCACGCTTCCTTCTGCGCTTTCTTCTTCTTTCGCGAATTTCTCCCTTTCCTTTTTTCCAACATAAATTATCCGTACAGGTGCCCTCTGATGTTTATTTTTGGTTATTTGGCTACTCGGACAGCCTTTACTAGCCAGCACGAACACTATACTCGAAGGCTGGCAATTCGATGACAACCCCGATCAACATGGTAGATATGCTTCTCTAGAATCCTCGCCTGCAACTGAGCCATTCTCTCTGTCGACGTCGTACCACGCAGCTATAGTGTAGTTTGAGAAATACCGTTAAGATCTTTCCATGGCCGAGAACCGTGCTTTGTCCCTGGTGGCATGGTTACTTGCTCTGGTTTCCATGATGAAGACCGATCGAAGTTCGATGTCCTGTAGGGTATTTACAGTTGTCACATTCTCTGGCCGATGTTCAATATTGTGATGCGCGCGCTTATGTGCTGTCCATAGCCCAATGATATGGTGGGTTTTGAGGGCGTGTTGCTAGCATATATATTCTCTCTCACATTGGTAGGGACTGTGGGGAAACTCAAAATCCACAAATGAATTCCCCTACATGTATGATTTGGAGTATAATAAATTGAAATGAATATTTATTGATACTAAGATATTCGACCTGTAATGTAAAGGAAAAAAATAAGTAAAAAAAAGTAAAAAAGAAGTGATAAGAGTGGGATTCGAACCCACGCCTCTTGCGAGACCAGGAAACTATTGCTAGTTATGGAGTCAAGGTATACCTTAACCTGGCGCCTTAGACCAACTCGGCCATCTTACCAATTGTTGGAGTGAAGTATCTGAGATTGGTTCACAACCACCTTCTCCTTTCAAGTTCCAGATCAAACGAAAAGTGGCAACTCCAGGCCGGATTTCCTCGGGTGGGGCTTTCCTATTTCAGCTGTGAACTCATCAAGTGGCATGGGCATATCGAACTGTACTTTTCAGTCCGCCTGACCTTTCATTTAATCTTCTCCGTACAGGGAAACCCCATGCCATGGCTTCTCTTGACCTTGAAAAATCTACCGGGAGCATAACAAATGCCCGAAAGGGGCCAGTGCATCGGCAGAGGAATGTTCTCGGCCCCCGAGATCGGAAGCGGACAGCTCTGACGCAAGGCGCTTTTTATTATTAGCACGGCCACAACTTTCCATGGCTGGGAACAGACTGGTCCACTCCCAAAAGCAAACTAATCAGCTGCCACAGGATTCTTCCATATGGCTCTTTGCAGTCACAGGAAGGTGGGCACCCTTCAGGGGTGGCGGTTTGAGGCCACATGATGTAATATTCGCCCAGGGCATTTTCCAGGATCAGCGGTCAAAACCAGCGGTGACCCTCTCAATCTGATATTCAGCCCCAAACATTTCTTTTTTTCTCAAGCTCCCTCTTCCTTCACTCCCTCTAATCACAATGGCACCTCTAAAGCTCAACATCAAGCACCTGGAGCAAATTGCGCAGGCAGGCAATGGGCCAATCCAAATCCCAAAGCACCGTTTCCGCAACAGCTCTGTTAAAGAGGGAATCGTCCACGTTGGTGTGGGTGGCTTCCACAGAGCTCACCTGGCTGTCTATGTCGACCAGTTGATGGAGAAGCATGGTGTTACCGACTACGCAATCTGCGGTGTTGGCTTGCAACCTTTCGATGCTACCATGCGCGATGTCCTGAGAGAGCAGGACCACCTCTACACCGTCATGGAGCGCTCTGACAAGGGAAGCTTTGCCCACGTTGTTGGATGCATCAATTCCTACCTCTTCGCCCCCGACGATCGCGAAGCTGTCATCGCCAAGATGGCCCACCCTGATACCCATATTGTTTCGCTCACCATCACCGAGAGCGGCTACTACTATAACGAAAACTCCCACGAGCTGCTGAGCAATCACCCCGATATCCAGTTCGACATCAAGTCCGGCAACGAGAACGCCCCGCGCACAACCTTCGGCTTCCTCTACGCGGCCCTCGCACGACGCTACGAACAAGGACTCAAGCCCTTCACCGTCATGTCCTGCGATAACATGCAGAAGAACGGCTCCATCACACGCAACATGCTCGTGTCCTTTGCGCGTTTGCGCAACCCTAAGATCGCGGAGTGGATTTCCGAGAAGGGCGCCTTCCCCAACGCCATGGTCGACCGCATCACACCTCAGACATCAGCCAAGGACAAGGAGGAACTCGCGGAGGACTTTGGAATTCAGGACGCATGGCCCGTCGTCACAGAGCCCTTTATGCAATGGGTTATCGAGGACCAGTTCTGCGACGGCCGCCCAGAATTCGAGAAGGTTGGTGTCCAGGTTGTCAAGAACGTCCACGACGTCGAGCAGTTTGAGATGCACAAGCTCCGTCTGCTCAACGGCAGCCACTCGGCCATCGGCTACCCAGGCCAGATGGCAGGCTTTGAATACGTCCACGAAGTCATGAAGAACCCGAACATGCGCCAGTTGGTGTGGGAGATGATGCAAGAGGAGGTGAAGCCCCTCTTGCCGGATATTCCTGGCGTCAGCATTGACGAGTATTGCAAGACGCTCATGAAGCGTTTCTCCAACTCCAAAATTAAGGATCAGCTGCCCCGCATCTGCCTCAATGCCTCTGGCAAGATCCCGCAGTTCATCATGCCGTCGATTGCCGAGGCGATTCGGGAGAGCGACAAGAAGCAGATCGAATATCCTTTCCGCCGCCTGTGTTTCGTCGCGGCCTCTTGGTTCCTTTATGTCAAAGGTGTCGATGACCACGGCAAGAAGTTCGAGGTTGATGACCCCATGCGCGAAGAGCTCCAGGCTGCTGCTGAGGCCGGCCATGGCGGCCCCGACCAGCTGCTCAACATCAAGATTCTCTTCGGTGACGACTTGCGCGGATGCAAGAGGTTCACGGATGAGATGAAGAAGGCCATGACAGACATCGCGGACAAGGGTGTCTTGGAAACCCTCAAGGTCTACTTCCCTGAGGACACCAACTAGTCGCTGTTGGTTTGACGAAAAAGTTACAATTGCGTCTGCGAGCGTTGTTTTTACATTTTCTAGCATGCTATCTAAGAAAAAATACACATACAGATAGATGGTAGACAAGACTTGCCTACTACTCCGTATGTACTTGTATATTGAACGGATTTCTTTAATTAGGATGAGTTGTTTTCTGGATTAATTTGGAGAAACGTGCGAATTTCGGTGGCGGGTGATATAGCCAGATCTAACCAATGTGAATCTTAATGTTATTACATCCGATATAAAGAGCTCGGGAGCAACTTTCCAGGCCTTGTAGGTGGAGTAGACCGATGGTCCCGTGGGTCAGATGAGCGTGCTCAATTTTACATTGAAAAGAGAAGTGGACACCTGTAAAAAAGGAAAGTGACGACGTGGTAAAAACTGGAGCATATCATGCGCAGGCCAATGATGGTTCATTCATGAGCTATCAGAATGAACTCAGTGACAACATGAAATCATTACATTCATGTAGCCAATCAAGAAGTCGATTGTTATCGCGATTAATTGACTGGAAGAGCTATATATATTGGAGGCTCTCGGAAAATCTATACTTATTGGTGTCTGGTACAAAATATAAGCTACAGGAAGATTTGTTCAAATATTCAACAATGGGATTTTGAAGTATCCGGGATAATAGAACACCCGCTAGCAGTTTAAAAAAGGAGTATGTATGAACAATGTTACAAAAAAAGCCAACCTCATAAATCCAACACATAGGTGAATATAAGGCAGCGAGTACAACGAAAGACAAATCCAAATCATGAATACGCAAACTCAAGTTTACAGCATAACCATGAAGATACCAGAGGCAACGGCAGCGACCGCATAGGCACCGGCCTGCCAGGCACCAATGTGCACAGCATGGGGAACGGTGCCAGCAGCAATACCAGAGGAGGTAGCACCACTAGTAGAAGAGCCAGAAGAGCCAGAGCCAGAAGCACCAGCAGCAGTGCTAGCAGCGAGACCAGCACTGACGGCGCCAGTACCAGCCGAGCCAGCAGAGCTCATCTGAGTAGCGCAGGAGCCAGAGGCAGAGGTAGACTTCTTGGTGCTAGCGACACCGTTGAAGCCACAAGCGTCGCTACCAGCCTTGGCCTTGTTCTTCTGGTAGTAAACGTTCATAGCCCAAGCCAGCTGCTGCTTAGGCGAGCACATGGAGTAGGCACCGTAAGTGCCAGAAGTGGAGTTGGACTGGACTCCGTCCATGACACCGCTCTCGCCGCCGAGGTAGCCGAAGGTGGTTCCGATCTGCTTGTCGGTGATGTCGGAGTTGGGGACACACTCGAGGGAGTTGTACATGCACTCGCAGAGGTCTGCGTTGGGCGAGGGGGGCAGCTTGCTGGCGGCGTTCCAGTCCGAGCCGATGGTGGGACAGCTGCGACCGACGGTGGTGGAGACGGAGTACTTGTCGGAGTTCACGCCGGTCGGGGTGGCAGAGGCCATTTGCTTGGAGAGGTAGCTGAAGTCTGAGAGGGTCGATACGTCGTCGCCGGAGACGGTGACGAGGCCGTACTTGTTGGCTTCTTCGTAGTACATGTAGACGATGCCGCCGGACCAGACGTCGGTCATCTGGTCGCCGAACAGGACGGGGACGTCGGTGAACTTGCGAGGGCGGACTTCGTTGCAGCCGTACTCGGAGAAGAAGGCGGGGACGGGGTAGTCGGCGAATTCCTTGGTGCGATCGGCGTAGCCGGACTTCTGGTAGCTGGAGTCGCCGCACCACTCGTAGATGTTGTAGCCGAAGAAGTCGATGGAGTCGGCAGCTTCGTCACAGACGAGGTAGTTGGTGATGTCTTCACGGACGGTGGCATCGTCGTCGGTGGCGTAGCCAACGCCGAGGGAGCTACGGTAGTTCTTTTGCTTGATGTAGGACTTCATGTCACGGACGGCGGCCTTGACGTAGGCCATGGAATTGGTGTTGTTGACCTTGTTGGAGACTTCGTTTCCGGCAAAGAAGCCAATGACATTGGGGTACTTGGCGAAGGCATCAACAACCTGGGAGTAGCGAGTGAAGAGATCCGAGTTCCAGGTCGGGTCGTCGGATTGGATGGATTCGCTAGGCGAGGACAGATCGGTGATCAAATAGATACCGGCATCGGCGAGGGCAGTCATACACTCATCGTGGTCTTTGCTGGGGTCGACAGCGTATGTACGGACAACGTTGGTGCGCAATTGGACGAGGTAGGGAATATCACGCTTGCAGGTGTCGATGGCCAGCGGGTCGGTGTAGGTATCGGTGCTGTCAGCACCGTTGCGACCCGTGAAGTTGGGCTGGTAAGCGACACCACGGATGAAGAACTCGGTGCCGTTGTTGGAGTAGAAGAATTTCTTGCCCTTGATCTCAATCGAGGGAACATCGGCCGCCATGGCCGCTCCCAGAAGGGAGAGACCAGCGATGATAGAGGCCTTCATTGCGCAAAGGAAATCGAAATCCTAAGGAATGTCAGACGGGGTACACACCGTCTTTCGAGATAGCGAATGTAAATAAGTGAAAGAAAGAAAGAATCAGAAATCTACAAGATATGTAGGAAGGGAGGAGAAGAAAAGAGAGACCCTGGAAGGGGGAAGAGGGTCTAAAGGGGGACGCGAATTTATGTGGAGATATCCAGTGCATATCATTTGTACAACGCTGTATTGATTTCTATTTATACCGGATTTTTGGTTTTTGGTAACTCCAGTGGCAGACGTGATTGGCAATCCAGAGACAAACAAACCTTGGAAGTGGAAGATGTTGATATTTCGTCATTGGCCCCTTCTACTCCCTGCCTCCGCTGTCCCTGCACTGTGTCTCCACTGGGACTCCACTGTCACCCCACTATTTCCTCGGTTAAGCCTTTCCCGTTGAGTCCTTTTGCTTATTTGCCACTTCCCCTGAGACATGTGGAGGCGCTAGTGAGCCCGTGGACGGGCTGATGCTGCGCTAAAGACCCTGGGAAGACCCTGACTGGAGGACAGTGTGGGACTTCATTTTCTGGTAATCTATTGGAAAGTCAATTGTTTACAGAATACTCCATCGTTGAACATCTACGGAATACACAGACAATATTGTATAGAAGAGAGATTCAAAGAAGAAAGCTTGTTCATTGCCAAGGGCGATCAATGCAATGACGTCGATTGGAATGAATCCGAGCATCCTTGGCTAAGGCTTGACCATTGTAATACGTAGCACTTGAAATCGGAAATATCAGGATTAATAAACTGTAATCCCCGTCTCAAATTGGTCTAGCCTTGGTGATGGTAGAGTACATGTCTCTGAAGGTACGGAGTACTTCTGGGGCATTTCGGGCTAATATTTGTCTTGAAACATGTCTCTAATTTATGATACATGCTCTTGGACCGGACAATACTATAATTTACCATTGTACAGCAGCTAAACATCTTATGTTATGTATATGATACAATTGAGTAACATTCTATTGTTTCATATTAACTAGGGCCAAACCATCTATATCATAACATTCGATGTTTTCTTTTTCTTTTTCTCTATACTTTTACTATACAATAACAGTAGAGAGATGCTTGTATAAAAAATACCATGTATCCCCATACTTATACCCAACAAGCCAATGCCCGGGAAATTTGTCCAGAAAATGTCTCGGACTGATAATGAAGCAAAGAGCCCACCGAGACTCCATACTAAGCGGGATATTAGGCCGCCACAAAGCTTGGTAAAGTAAAATATGCACTCTGTACTCCATATATGCCCCGAAAGGGAGATGATTGACTTTCTCGTAGCCCGTACCTACGGAGTTATATGCTTGGACCCGCTTTTGGCGTGATCTATGATATTCAGGGGTGCATATACCCCTGAAATGCACTGCCTGGTTCTGTCTCGAACCGCATGGTTTGCGTTGCGCTGCATGTTGGGTCATTTCATAAATATCCTAGTTGATAATCATCCCCATGTAGAAGAGGGCTGTGCTAACCTAACGGGAGGAAATATTACTGCCTGCTGTGCCGTCAGGCAAAATTCTCTCATTCTTACATTGAAAAGCCAACTTAAATAATCATTTCCTCATCCCTGCGCTAGGCAGACAGAAAAAAAAAGCTCAACTAGCAGCAGAAAAGAAGGGTTCTCGTCAATGGCATCCTGAATGTTGATGGAGGGATTCGTGGCGTTTTAGATGATAGGACCGATTGTCTCGCAGAGGGATTAGTTGAACCACTTGACCGTAACGGCGATGCCCTTGCAGCACCATATATGCCATATTATTGGCAATGGTTGCCCAGCCATCCCGGCAAACTGTATATGCGGCAACAGACCATTTGCCAGCATTGCTTAGCCGAACAGTGCCTATCTGTTAGGACACCCCACACGATAACTATTCCAAAATATTGTTAGTAGGGGACGCTTGGTACGTTATATCTCGACTTCCAAGAGATTACATACGTATATGTATATAAATGTTGGTCCATGGCAGCTGGTTGACCTTCTGACGAAAACCCAGTGGACCCAAACCCTCTTCAGGCCCAAGGGGAGGCTTCTTAATGAAATCTTATAGTCGGATCGTGTCGATATCGGGCGAATTTGAGAGTTTATGAAGTCGGCCCTTCTAGCTTTTCCAAGCCTTTGGATATTCGCCAACGGTTGCATTTTGAGTCTTTATGAAAAAAGAGAGGAAAGGGCTGGTTTCTGATTGCAGGGTATGATTGCTCTCTAATTACATGGCATAGAAAGCTCCTCCATGTGCACTACACATATTGTTTAATCCGAGTTCTCATATCTGACAAGATCTGAACTCTGGCAGCATTACCCTTCACCGATACAGTCTCAACCGTGGCTCCATAGTCATTCAACACTGTCCTCCACGCATTATGAAGAAACGGGCTTCAAGGCCAACTACCGTCATGCCATAAACAGAGCTATTTTGGGCTCGCAGTCCCCCATAAAGCAGTAGATGAGTGTTCGCAATGAGGGAAAAAAGACTGTTGGTCCAAGTAGAAGATGAAAATCCCGAACTTTTGACTTTCATCACTATTAGTGTTGGCCGACAGTTCAAATTGGACACAACTTTGTTGAGCATACCAGTTCAATATGTACCGGACACCGATAACGCACCCCACACTACAGCAAAAGGCGCTGAGAGATAGACGTCATTCCTCAAGTCCAGAATACTTTTCTTTGCAGGTCGGTATGCTCGGGCAGTACTGTGGCAAAGCTCACATCCCCACAATCTCTAACGGTTGACGAAGGTATCTGGCCAAGAGAAGAAGTGTGATCAACCAGAAAGATGATGATATGAAGTGGATGGAAGATGACGATCTAGCTATTCCATGAAGCTCTTTATATAGCTCCATAGTGTATCTGATCCATTTGGTTAAACAATGTCAAAGTCCGACGTAGAACCGAGAGAACCTGAAAGTCACATGGCCCAAAATGGCTAGCGCGAGGTAGGCAGCAACTATTTTAAGGGCCCTTAAGATGCCGAGAACCCATAGGGCTGAACTTTTCTCTTTTCTGAGAATTTGTATGTTGTACTTACTCCGTACAGACGACGGCATTATCATTTGATTCGAGGTTGACTTCATTGACTCCCCTTTTACTCTGACTTTGCTTCTCACTCTCCCTCGCTTCACTTCAGCAACCGCCCGACCGCAGAGCTTACAGCACAGACACCAACCAACAAACTGAAAAGGTGACAGCCAACTACGTCGCAACGCAGCTGATTGAGCTGAGTGGTCATGGATATTCCCTCGGGATGACGACAGCCATAACTTTTGAGACGAGCCCAAGCCGCCAACATCCGCAGTACCTGCCCGAGCAGGGCCTAGTTGATCATTGATCACGGCCTCATCACGAAGAGGCTGCCTATAACAAATGCCAATATAGACACTGCCTAATGATAGTATTACAATCTATTCTTGGGAGCGTACCTCCTCTCAGAGTATCTCCAAGGCTCCCGGCTGAGAGCACGGGAGCCTGCCCAGGTGGCGCTGCTGAGCGCTTCTACGGGCACCAACCAACAACCAACAACCCCGAAAACCAAACCTTGACAACCAACACGTGATCGTTCCAATATGCGTCTGGCTTGACCTCGGGACGCAATCAATGACATAGGAAAAGGGGTTGTGGCGTCCAGGCCTGATGTGGAATCAACACGCGAGCTGATTGACCAAACACTGCCAAGAGCGGGTCAAAACCCCCTACACAATTTATGCTGGAGGGAATTTCCCCCAATAAACAGGAGACCCATATCTGCCGCTTTCTGTGCCACGATCGTACCGCTACTTTGTATATCGTCTACCAACATCTGCAGGAATGCCCGAGAAAATTTATCAGATGCAGTGTGACCATGGTATTTGACTGCAGAATGCCGGCGATCAACCAAGTTTTTGCCAAGTCACCCAAGCACAAAGCTTCCACCGACAAAGCTTTCAGTTCCACCTGGCCAAGGTTTCAAGTGGCGCTGTAGTTTTTGACTGCCAGCGCACCAACATCCATGATTTGACGATATCTGACGCAGTCGTGCGCAACAAGAATTTATAAAGTGGAATTGAAACACTGACTGGTCCCCAACTACCAACTATCCATACAAACCAATCTCGCGATCCGAGTTTGTTTTTTTCTAGACGCCAAGATCACAATATTTGCTCCACTATACACACTATACGCACCACTTGTGGCTGTGCCTTTCAACTCTTTTCGAAGTCTGTTCTCCAAAGAAACCCCAGCAAATTGCTACAGACAAATTCTATCCCTTCATTTCTGAGTCACTCCTTTTACCCTTCTTCTCGCTGTAATCGTTTCATAATTGTCATTCGTTTGATCTTTGTTGACTTCCCGCCTACCCCTTGCCTGAGCGCGACTCTCACCGTTGCGACTCTCACCGTTCCCCTGTGCGCGTGAATATCCCGGATCCGCCATTCATCATCGTGCTGTGGCTGTATCTTGAGACACGTCCACATTTCGCGCTTAGATTGCCGTAATCGCTTCAGCTTGTGGATTTGTTGAGCTGTCCATATCTCGAAACCGTTAGCCAGTGCGTGTTCCCCCAGCCAGCCCTTCATAGGCATCCGTCACAGGTCGCAGGTCCAAGCCACAGTTGTGGGGTGTTTTCCCCTTGAGGCAAATTCAAGCTCATCAAGCTCATCATTAGCCTCTGCTCTGTTCTCTTATATATATCTCTCGCAAGGCCACTCTTACTTACGAATCCATTTCTCTACAGAAGCCATATTAAGCCACCACCATCATGCGTAAGTCCAACAGCTATGCATACCCAATCTATCAACTGGCCAGCCATACTAAACGTACCACTAGTCAAAATTCGCAGTAAAGCCCACTTCGCAGCACGTTACGGTCAGAAAAGAGCCAGCCGATCGAACTCTTTGCAGCTCGAGGATGGACTATCCCATTCCCAGACCTTGGGCGAACTCTCAGCAGACCAGCAACGCCGACGGGAACTCAACGACGGCATTAGCGTCCCAGAGTACTCCAACACATTCCCGCCGGAGTTCGCTGGTAGCGACCATGAAACACACAAGTCCCCGCCTGAACCGTCCATGGCTAGCCAGGACCCAATCAATGTCTCATCGTCACGCGGGCTTGATACCGAGACCGTTGGATCGGCGCAGGCGCGCCAGCGGAAAAGTGGAATCTTGGGCAAGTTCAAGCATCGCCATGATGACGACGAGTGGGAGGACAAGAAGTCGGAGCATCAGACCTACACTTTTGCGTCACAGATAAGGGCTACTCTTTTGAACTCGTGGGTCAATGTTCTTTTGATTGCCGCACCTGTTGGAAGTATGTCTTGCTCCTGCCACTGATGTATGGAAGTGCACGTGCTAATTCTGTTCTTGCGCATAGTTATTCTCTATGCTGTTAAAGCCAATTCGATTGCAGTTTTCGTGGTTAACTTCATCGCTATCATGTGAGTGGTTATGCCGCTGGCTAGGACGAGGATATCTTGCTAACAGGCATTTACTAGCCCTCTTGCTGCCATGCTCAGTTTCGCAACTGAAGAAATTGCCCTTCGGTATGCTTCAATCTACCCCATTCTGTTTGGTCTATGCTCATCTCTTCTAGCACAGGTGAAACAATCGGTGGTCTGCTGAATGCCTCGTTTGGTAATGCCGTCGAGCTGATCGTTGCAATTATCGCGCTGGTCCAAGGCAAAACTCTCATCGTGCAGACCTCGCTTATCGGAAGTATATTGTCTAACCTGCTCCTGGTGCTGGGCATGTGCTTTTTCTTCGGTGGTATCCCTCGCATCGAGCAAAATTTCAACGTCACAGTTGCGCAGACAGCCGCAAGTATGCTCGCACTGGCTGTTAGCAGTTTGATCATCCCTACTGCCTACCACAAGTGGTCTGATCGTTAGTGCATCCAGGACCCGCAAACTGAGACGAGAGCTAACAAGAACTTTGACTATAGTTGACAAAGTTGACGGGACCGCCTCTCTATCTAGAGGTACGTTACTTCCTGGGACTACTAGCCCTGCTATCGCTTTCACTTTTGTTACTCACACCGCACCACAGGCACCAGCGTCCTCCTTCTAATCGTCTACGGCTGCTATCTCTTCTTCCAACTGAAGTCACATGCCGACATTTACAACCAACCCAGCCTGAAGGTCGAACGGCGACACATGAAAGTCGGCGAAGGTGATACCAGCCGGGGCATTGCCCAGATCGGCAAAATGACCGCCACGCCGTTAGTCGCACATAATCCCGAACAAATGCAGATGGAGGATCCCGAAGATGAAACCGAGGAGCCGCAGCTGTCCATTTCAACTGCCGTCATCACGCTGATTATCTCCACTGCGTTTGTTGCTGCCTGTGCTGAGTTCATGGTATGCATATGCCTTTCCCCTAGATCTGTTCCGATCTTTATTAAGTGTGATTGCAGTAAGCTCATTAATCTATGCAGGTTGAATCCATCGATGCTTTGACGGCTACCGGTAACATTCGCGAGACGTTCGTCGGATTAATCCTTCTGCCTATCGTTGGTAATGCGGCTGAGCACGTTACTGCGGTGACAGTCGCATGCAAGGATAAGATGGATCTTGCGATTGGTGTCGCCGTCGGATCCAGCATGCAGATTGCGCTGCTTGTGTTGCCGTTGATTGTTGTTCTCGGATGGATCATTGGTGTTGAGGATATGGTATGGAGCCCAAAATTTAGATCTTATCGGGCCTGGCACTAACTTCGACAGACTCTCAACTTTGATGGATTCCAGGTTATTGTACTATTCATGTCTGTTCTTTTGGTACGTGGATTTGATTCTCAAGAAAGTGATACCGTACTGACTGTTCTTGTTAGGTCAACTACCTCATCGGTGACGGCAAGTCTCACTGGCTTGAGGGTGTCTTGTTGATGATGATGTATCTGATTATTGCTCTTGCGTCTTGGTATGTTCTTGTTCTATATGGTTGACAAGTGGAATCTGTCGCTTACTGATTGCGTCTCTAGGTTCTTCGTTTAAACACTTACACTCATTACAGTCATCGGGCTGGGTCCCCGTTGACGATACGATATATTATAATTTACCATCCTAATCGCGGGGACCTTTTTGGTTATTATCTTTTCTCTATCACATTTTTATTTGGTTTTATTTGGTTTTATTTGGCTTTGGATTCTATTATGATCGCCCATAATATACCCACTCTCGCGGTGCTTTGCATGTCCGACGCATTTAATTTATTTCCCCGAGATAAAATTGATCTGTGATTCCATAACAGTCTTTCACAATAATCCACATCACAAAAATCAAACCAAATAAATAGCCGGACAAGAGCTATTCAACCGCCTACGTTGTCAGGCTAAAAAAGCAGGGCTGACTAATTCGGTAACTTTTCCCCGAAGAGTGGGGATGAGCAGCGCTTTCGGGACTGAATCTCCGACAAATTCAGACTCAGCACACGAAATACGCCCGTGGACGAATAAACAGAATGCAATTATGCCAACAGCACAGTACGGTACGGAGTATGTCCTCCGTACATCCAGGCACGATACTGTAGCCATCGGGGAATTACCGGGCTGAACAATCATGCACGGTAAGGCTATCCAAATCCGGACTCGGCAGACTCGGTATCCCCCCGATGTTTCTAACCGAGCCGATGTGGGGAGGCTGGGATTTACAATTGTTCCTGGCTTGTTCTTCGAACCCTTCCCATTTTTACTGCGGAGTTCTCCGTACGGAGGGAGTACAAAGTAGTGGTCCTGGGATCCCGCATCTGCCCGGGCCTGGACTGAGGTTTCTTTCGAAGCACCTCGCCGTAAATTACCACATGTGGCTATTATCCTAACTGGTATGTATGTTGTATGTATGTTGTAGAGAATTCCGTATGTCATGATATGATATCGAATAATCAGTACAAACTACCTGCCGAATCAGATGGGGTCGGCAACTGCTCCGCGCCGAGAAGGGACAGGGAGGAAAAGAGGACTTGATCCCGGACGGAAATTGTTGGGACGAAATGAAATTCAAAGCCACTTTGGCGCTGGAGGCTTCGACACTGCCGATTGGATTGGACGGTAGTCCGGCGGCACGGGATGCCTCGGATAATATGAGGAAGGTTAGGAGTTTCCTTTATTAATCTTGTCACCTGAGAGGCTACTCCATATGTGGGGTAGAGAACCCGGATCGTGAAAGGACTGTGCAGAGGCAGTTAGGGTAGGGCATGCAATGTTAATCCAGTCCTCCGTAGTTACTCCGTTCCGTATGTGATGGAACATGTTCAATTTGCCTTTTAGGCTTCCCCACTGTTATCCACCGGGGTACGGAGGACAATATAAGAACCAAAGGCCGGAAAAATATAGGCAGATGGCCATTGACCCCGAGTCTCTCTTGTAAAGTTACTATACAATACAAGTCCAAGTCTACGTCACTATAATATATCGATTATAAAAAAAAGAACAGACCCAACTTCTTACCTAATACAAAGTAAATGCGGGGTTATCCGGGGTCCAATGGCTGGCGCCTCGGAGGTTGCGGTCCAATCGCGGTATCGGACGGGGCCGAAATGTGACCGGGGGGAAAAATTCGGTGTATGAACTTTTCCGATGTGTGACGTTCCTGGGCATGTGTATAACCTCGGAACTACACAATTATGGATTTGGCACTCCGCAAGGGACGAAAAATAAAAACATATGATCGCGGATGCAGTCGGCCTCGGACTGTTTGCACTTGTACATGGATGGGACCAAATTGTGGGAGTATAAGGATGGCAGCAGAAATACGGGGCAAGGACTGGTCGAGTCAGGCCAATTCCCCATCCCGTGAAATATGCGTGTTCTTCCGAGGGGATGGCGATTCATTTGACCCTCTGCCGAGCGACCTGATCGCTTCTCCGATTCTTCCACTTTGTGACGGGTGACAAGCGGGGGGAAACACAAGCCCACATTGTAGGAATGTCACACGGAGGCGTCGAATACGGGGTGAGAAGGTGAAAGGTCATAGCCAACGCCAATCAATGCAGAGGTAACTGTACTTGGAGGATCTAGCATCTCACCTCTTTGCGGGGAGAGCCCCGACCAGGCACTTGGAGACCGTTGATTGGATGCCATTTCCCCTTCATCCCCAGATTGATGGGCTGCGTGGATGGACGGCCATCCATGTTCTGGGGACGAGGCTATACCCGAGGGATCCAAATGGGCCGAGATACCCCTCATGAGAGAGACGAGAAAAACCATGTGGGAGAAAAAACCGCCTTATGGGTCCACTGGTCTTCTGGGCGTCTTGTGGAGTCGCGTTTCGGCTTTTCATTCTTTTCCCATGAACAATTCTTGGTTCTCGCTGTACTCTCCGAGAATGGCCCCCCATCTGTGCACACACACAGACTAGGTATGTATATCCGCTTGCCTATTTAGGTGTTCCCGGTGCGGGAAGAGACGGTGTATGGATTTCCCGCCCAGACAAATGCCGATCGGACATCAGCTGCCACGGGGTAGACCTGGTCAATTGCCTAGGCAGAGGCGAATGGTACTTTTGTGCTCCGTGCCCTAGTATAGAGTTCTAGGGCGGCCATGGAACCAGGGTGTACCGCATTGTACGTATGATGCGCCCAAATCCACCGATCCCCCAGATTTAGGCACTGTGACTGATCCCTCACGGGCCCTAGAAAATGCCGGAAAGTGGCGGAGGAGAATCGGCCGGCGAGTGGACGGGTATTGTCATTCCAGCCAGTCCGGGTGCTTTGGATCTGGATTTGGTCCGGTAGAAGAGACAATGTCCTACTTGACAGGCCAGATTGCCAATTTTTGATTTTTCTTTTCTTATTTTCGGACCGTGAGCTGAGCCCGAGTCGGGTAGAGATGTGAAATGACGATCATGAGATCAGAGCCTGGTAAGAATGGGGTAGATACCGCTCAGGCCTCAGGTGTTTCCCGTGCCGAGAAGGGGTATATTAGCTAAATATGGGGTTATAACGAGAGAGATGGAATTGGATATGAGTTGTAATTGTGAATAGTTAATAGCTAGTGCTAAAACAATTAAATCGTTATATACTATGCATCTGCTATACATGAATCAAATCCTTCTCCAGAAACGAACTACATCGGCAGCCGGAAACTGGGGGTCTCCACCTCCACGAAAAGCGCGTCCTTGCATGCTTTTGGCCCTCCGCAATTTCAGCGGCTCTGGTTTGCTCTTTTCTCTCGGCTCTGGGGGTTTTTTTTTCTTTTCACAATTTCCCTTTTTCCCTTCTTTTTTTTCTGCTCTGACTTCATTTCCCCGGTCGTGACATTCCCCGTTCCCTCCCGACTTGTGTTTCTCCCGGTCCGGTGCCCCGACTCTTTGAGTTTCCCCCACACTCCGCCAATTCCGTTCTTCTTCTCCCTTGGCCCTTTCCCTCTTGCGTTCTCTTTTCGTTCACATCGATAGGTTGTGATATCTAGTAAGTTGGAAAGCGAGTCCCACCGGAAAATGCAATATTAACTATGATAGAAACCGAACGGGTCTGCGTTTAATTCTCCGAGATTCTTCCCCCGCAAAATAACAGCGCGTGACCCTGATACCCGTGGTAAATGGGAGAATTGCGATTGATACAAATCGCCTCGCATATCTGCAGACTTCGGGTCTGTCCAATACACCATGCGGTCCAGCATCGCTTGCGCTCGATGCCGGCGCAGTAAAATCAAGTGTGTCAATTCCGGGATCGATACAACCTGCCGCGCATGCGAAACGTCCGGGCGCAAGCTCGAATGTGTCTATCCAACCCCAGCACTCGGAGTGAACAACGCCAAGCGGGATCTGGCTGCCCTGGCAGAAGGCGACGATCGAAGTAACGACTGGGATGGCCCGAAACGACATCGTTCGCGCAAGGTGGTGGGTATCTCTGGCTCCTCGGCTGGGTCCAAGCTCGGTGTGGATGCGCTTGATTCCTCGATCCTGACGACCAAAGTGTGGGAGGCCGTCTTCGACCTCTTCCAATCGCATTTTGCGACTCTTCTACCCTTCCTACATCCCGCGACGTTTCTCGGCCAGATTCGACAGCTCTCATCTCCCCCTCCTGCGCCCTTCGATGGACAAGATCCCCGCAATCCTGCGAATAAGGTGGACCCGTCTTCCTCGTTGATTCCGCTGGGGGTACTAGCCCTAACTGCTCGGTTTCACCCTCCGTTGGCTGCAGCCCACTCACCAGTGTCGCCTAGCCATCCTTCGAATCCGCTTGCCGCATCGGAATACTATGCTGCAGCCCTCCGCAGCCGGCTGGCCGGCTTGGATGGTTCTTGCCTTGCTCAACCTGATCTTGCGCGCGTGCAGGCGTTATTGATGTTGGCTTTGCACGAGTGGGGGATGTGCCGAGGCAAGAGTGCTTGGGTCTACGTGGGCATGGCCATCCGGCTTGCACAGGCCATGGGTCTACCCTTTGAACTTGAAAATGAATTCCCAGCGCGAGATCTTTCGCGCTCCTCCCCCGGCTTGCGAACCGAGGCAGATCACTTCGGCCTGCCGCGGCGTGTAGAGCCCAGAGAGCCGACCTCGGATGATATTATTGCACAAGAGACTAAGCGCCGGACATTCTGGGCTTGCTTTATCCTTGACCGGTGTCTTAGCAGTGGAAAGTACCGGCCTCGGATGGTCCGTGTCAAGGAACTCGGAATTCAGCTCCCGAGCGACAACGCATTTGCCTTCGGCGAGCGGGTTCGGACGGCCAGACTCAATGAACCCACCGTTCGGCGCCCGCAGAGTTTCGGTTCCCAAAGCATGCAAATCCCCAGCATCCGTCAAAGCATAGGAGGCTTTGGCGATGAAAAACTCCCATCCAATGGAACCTCAGATAACAAGTCCTGGTCACCTATCTCTCGCCGCAAGGAGTCGAGCGTGGAGGATGTTGATCGATGGGAGGTTGGCGCAGAGGAGTCGGTACTCAGCCGGGTGATTCGGATCATTCGTGTCTGGGGAAGCATCGCTAAATGGTCTTGCGCTGGCGGTCGACGCACAGAGCAATATCCCCCATGGCATCCTGAATCCCGCTTCTCTTCACTCCGTCTGCAGTTGAACGAGTTCCAGGATAGTCTTTCCCGCAACCTACAATATTCCCAGCGAAATACCGACACACATATCATGTACAAGACCACGCTGGCTTCATATACCGTGATGCATGTTGTCTACTTCCTATCGGTAATTGTCCTTCACCGTGCCTATATTCCATTCCTGCCTATCCGCTGCAATGAGCCTTCTGGCCCCTTAGATGAGCCGTTGTTCGCTGTCGACAAGGTCAATGGCCCACCTGAGGGTTTCTGGCGGGACAGCGCTCGTGAGCTCTTCAAGGCAGCGCGGCAGATGATCGATCTTGTGGCCACCTGCCAAGCCCGTGGTGCTCTTGTTGAGAACCCTTTGGTCGGATTTGCTATCTACAATGCCGCTTTTATCGGTGTTTATGGAACACATTTCCCACATATGGATCCAGAGGGGCTGATGGGAACTAAGCCACCCCCTGCGAGCCATGATAGCCACCAGCTTGGTGTCACACAAGCACGCAAGGCCTTGGATATCATCCGAGAGATGCGGCCTCGTCTGAAGATGGCGACCGGCTGGTTTCGCACCCTGAATCGCCTTCACAGCTACTTTTCCAAAGTCAAGCGCGATTTCCGCCGGGTTTCACGAAATCGTCTAGATAGCATGTCGGATGCTTCTGACCACGGTCCCAATGGGATTCGGCTAGTTCGCGAAGGTGGTGCTGGTGGCGGCTTTGAGGAATTTAAGATGCTTGAAAAGCTTTTCCTCGACTTTGGAAGCATTGAGGACCAGTTGACAGAGTCTGGGATGGATGAAGACTGCATCGCAGTGCCCGCAGCAAGCGAGTCCATCTACGAGCGCACGAATATGAGTGATGCTGGAAGCAATGCCGTCAGGAGCGAAACCGGTGATCCCGGTGACCAGATGCTCGACGGTACCGGTCGTCGCGAGGTCAACAGCCCCGGTCTATCTCTACCTGGGCACCAAGGCGATCGCCGTCCCAGCCTACCACTTCCCAACAGCCGCCAAATGCCATCCGGGTCCCCTTACTCCCTTCCATCCCTTCAGCAACATCACCCAGACGGTCCCCTGTACACCATCTCATCTCCCAACTACCCCTCTCTGTCAGCAACCACGCAGTCACCCTCCCAGTACCTGACGGCAACAAGCAACCGCCTGAATCCCATCAACTCCTGGCTCCCAGCCCGCCCGCAGGTTCCTCCCCCGCCATACTCCCAATCTCTCCCTCCCATCAACGCAGCCGCCTCACACACCATCCCTGTCCTTCCCCCACCGGGATCCGTCACTCAATTAGCCCCCTCGCCGCCTCTGACCTCAACGGAATACCCAGACTCAAGCCTGCTATCCACGAGTGTCGGTGGAGACGACGTCATCGCCTTCCTGGATGGGTGCGAATGGAGTCAGCTATCCATGCTGGCGCCTTCTGAGATCGGTATTCCCGCCGGTTGGCTTAGCACGATCTGGTCCCCACTCAGCCGCTAGGTCCTCATTCAGCCGCTAGAGTTCCCACCTCTCCAGCAGGCACGCATCGAAGCAGTGGCACCAATCGCCTTGCTTCATTGTATTATTACTCTTTACGAATTCCCTCGTCCGTTACGTCTTACGTACTGTACGATCATTTCTGTCTCTCTCTCCTTTATCTATGATCGCTGGCGACTCAAAAAATGAGACATATCCTGCGGGAAATCCCCCGAGTGCCGAAAGCAGGCGAATTAAACTCCAAATCCAATCATTTCCTTTCCTGGTCTGGCCTCCTCATTTACTGGCCCAGACTCGGAATTTGAAACGGGATCACGAAGATTGATTATCACCTATACCCAGTGCGCGCGACCTTGTCTTTTTCTATTTTTGTTCATGTTCATGTTCATGTTCTTGATATTGTTCACTTGCTACCTGTCCTTTCTTTTTCTTTGGGATACGCTGTTCAACATGCGTGCAAGGCGTTCCTCGTGATTTCCCGCCAAGGTGGCCGTGAAACCCGAGTTGATTGTTCATTTATCGGCAATGTTTATCTCCATATTGGTCTTTGTCCGTTTGTTTCGAGCGAAATTTGGGGTGGCACGGGAGCCTGGCAGCGGTGGCCGGCTTTTTTGACTTTTGTTTTTTTTTTTTTTTTTTTCTCCTGTGTCGGTTTTACGTTTTTACGATAGCCTAGGCGTTGCATTTGTCTTGCAAACTGCAATTCTCTTGGGTCAATTTATCTGCCTCTGTGGCTGTTTTTTATCCGGCATTCACTTCTTCCCAGCGTAGGGATAGATAATATCTCTCATAGAAGTACGGGTGGAAAATAGTCATATATACCTGCACCATACCTATAATTTTTACACGTGAGATCTTCTCTGACGGTTCTAATACCATCCATCCACCAATACCTCACACCTTGAATGCTTTCAATCTATATATAATAAAGCAAAAACAAAAAACATACAACAGTGAGGATTCGCTGGTGGTCACCCACCCAACTACTAACTCATCGGCGTGTGGCTTGAGTACGGCTGAGCGGACGGGAAGCCCTATTTTCCACACCCTATGGTCGTATGTATCAGTTCAAATATTGGAGGGGAACATAAAGCAGCTGAGAATTATAGACTACAGCTGGGACAAGATAGTTTATATCTCATCGTGACCACTAGGTCATGTGACCTATACGCCTAGATGGTCATAGCGTTAGATATTTGTTGGACATGGTGGTCACCTGACCATCAGCCCGGTGCGGCAGGCACCAACCCCCATAACTAGATAGTTGGGCATTCTGCCCTTTAGGAATTGACAACTGTGATACCCCTAGGTATGGAACGCCTAAGGGAATGCTATATATAATGGAGGATTGGGAAATAGAGACCGTAGTATATATAGTAGTATGTTTAGAACTAATAGCTACTTCTTCTAAGAAGTAGTATTAAAAGTACACGCAGTAAGAGTAATAGAGCTAATATCTCCGTTTCGAAGAGCCTAGATAGCTAATAAAAGCCTACCCTCTTGCTGTTCTAATTTGCTAGCGGATTGAGAGCGAATTGGTGGCATGGTGGGTGGTTGAACTAACTAGGTGCTAATTCATGGACGCGTTTTGGGTAATCCGCTTATTGTACATATTTTTCCTTGGATAGTAGGGTGTACCAAAAGCGGGCTTTGACTGTACTAGTAATCGAGTAATATAACCTTGGTGTGTACCCTTTCAGTCTAGCGGCATTGTTGCTCTGCAATTCTTACTCTTGAAATTCTCATGAAACTTCCAACAATCTGGCCAACTCTCTTGTTTCTTCATCAGCTATGCCCGATTCCAATTTATTCAGCAACACTGGCCTCCCGGAAAGATTTGTCTTGACGAAACTTCAAGTCCCCGGAGAGCTTGATGATGCGCAATTGACAGAATATTTTCAACCATTGCTTCACACCCCTGGCCACAATCGCTCTATGTGGGGAATGATTCAAGATAAACCCAAAACTGCTCTACTAGCGACTTGTAAGTAGCGCTCGGGAATTCTAAAGATAAAGATACTGACGTGCTCATGAATTCTCAGTGTGGGAGACAACTGATGCAATAAAATATTTTCAAGACTCTCCCTCAGCCCAGCTTCTCTGGGAAACTTTGGCAGCAAAGAACATTATAATCTTTAGCTCCCACGAAACCCCTTATGTTGGGAATTGGTTTGAGGTCTTGGATTCTTCATTCATTCAATTATTCTGGGTCTACTTCCAGGCTCCTGTAACCGACGCTCAGAGGACTGAAATTTCAAAGCTGAGAGGCCTTCGTCCGCCAGCCTCGGGCTTCAGCGTACCGAGACATCATAGGCCTCAAACAGAAATTCCGACCAAGGCATGGGCGACCCAGCCAGAAAGCAATGCGACTCAGTTGATGCTGTGGCCACACTTTTGGCGGAACTCGGAAAAATCCGAGTGGAGGCACGGATTGACAGAGGTGTTATTTGGCAGTACAATTATAGGCAAGCGGTCCAGAATTGACGATTTCGATGCTAGGCTACAAGAGGTGGGCTCAGTGAAATGGACAGAAGACTTTTGCTCTTTCCGGAGGATACGTGCTTAACATAATTTTTCGGGCTTTATGAAAAACGTTATCTAAAATCATTCTAGTCTAATATTTCAGTGGCAAAAATGTCTTTCTTTTCTCGTCCCGCTTGCTTGATATATTGTACGCCTGATCATACCGAGCTTCTACTAAACTCTGTCCCACGATCCTTTTCACTCAATTATAGCTGAAGGAGTTCACCTGCACCAGAATGGAAACTCTACCTCTGGTTTGTCGAAGTCCACTGAGTCTGCTGGAAGTACCAATATCCAACACCGAACCACACATATGTCTCAGGATTTCGTCGAATCAACGTCTGGTAATTTTTATCGTAGCCGCTCGGGATTCTATCGGGGGTCTTGAGGTATTTTTGTTGTTCGGTCTATGAATCTTTATATGATTAGTAAAATTGAGTGGTTGCGAAGTTTCTAAACTTACAAGTACTAGTAATATCTGGAGTCTGTTCGTTTCCAATCGTGAGATGGAACAGCTTATGATAGAACGTACCGCTCTGTGGGAGAATATCTGTGATAGAAAGGCCCTTCGCGGGTTCCTTGTCTCTAAGCGTTTCACCGGCTTTGTCATTTGTAAATGCAGATGGACATAATGTGATAGAACTAGGGGTCGTTTCATGTTGGGTGGCTCCCAGATGACTATTGCTCACAGTGCAGTAGGTTTTGCCTCTGTAATTAATATCGAAGAGGTACTGCCTTATGTCATCCGACTAATACGGTACCTGATTATTCCGTATACTCCGGCCATTTTTTTGCACCGTCTAAAGTATTTCCTGATAAGACGGAATATTCTTAATTGATACTGGGCTCAAGTGGTCACTGGTAGTCGAGTTGTATTTAAAGATATCATTTCTATTCACATCCTTAGCTACGTTAGACCGCTGTAGCTTTTGGAGCCACTTGTCGTTGCAGAATAGGTATGGAATGTTGGCTGTTGTAGTCTGTCTATCCAAGAAGTTCTTTATAATTTGAAGGTTCGCTATTGTCTTGTCAGTACATTGCGTTCCTTTAGGCCATATTGGGAAATTTACTTTGAACGAGATTCATTGCGTCCGTATTATCGGGGGATATGTTGAAATAAGACTAGAGATAATCCTTTGTAACTTTATTCTCTGACGCAGAAGGATTTTTGGCATCGCTTAGTGCCTGAAGGCCTGTATTAACCAAAGTCCTACTCTCAGACAGCCATTTTCTAAGCGGATCTGGGAGCTGCGAGCTATAGCCGCCATCTGAGTCTGTGCTTTCTTTGATTTGAAAGAGGGAGTCAAGACTTGGTAAGGCGAGCACGATGGGTATAATATAGCCCTAAACTAGAACTAGAAAGTTGATATGTATCGCCTTGATCAAGCGCCTTTACTCAGGCGACGTGGTATGAGGATGTCGGAGAAGCCTAAGAAATAGAATAATTTGAACTTATTCTCACTACTTCGCTTATGCAGTATATCTTATATGAAAATAATCGAATTATCCAAAAATTACATATGTATGCCTATGGTATTGTTACTGAGACATAATGTCGGCTCTCTTTCGGTAAAAAAACCATCGCAGGGTATGGTGAGGCCCTTCTAAGGTTGGTTGGTCACTTATATTTGTTGAGGCGCTAAGCTTTAGGAATAAAAAGTCTTAATAGCCTTGGAGATTGGTTTTCTACCGATGCTTAAGAGATGATAAGAACTGCGACGTTCTTGGCGTAAAGATGTGAGATATGTGGAGTTGAACCGCCAGAACATTTTGACTAGTGGATCTTGGCGATTACTGCAATCTCCGGCTTTCTAAAGATAATACTTCACAATAGTTTGAAGAAGTCGCACCTTACTGCATAGGCACTATCAGCCGTGTACGGTGTCATTTCTGTGGTCCCACATCGTCGGTCTACTCTTGGCCTTTTTCAATTTAAAATTTGAAGGCATACAGCCACAATGTAGGGGAAATTATGCCTAAAGGGCTCCGGTGAAGTTTGATTGAATTGATTGAACGAAAAGAGCAGCTAATGTCCAATCAGTGGGTTGTAGAATACAATATTTGAGACTCATATTATTCAATAGATTCGGGATGTGGTTAGTCTACTCTTTCAACCATAGACTATGTTTAGATGTAACTTGCAGTATGTTGGGTGAAATATAAAGAGATTGATGGTGTTGAAATTAAAGGTATCCTACCTACAATTTCAGCGTTTTCTCTGGACCTTTCCGCTAGAAGTATTATTTCTTCACTCTTGACAACTTACTGTCACAAATGGCATCGACATCTTTATTATTCTTCCTGGCTGCCCTTGCTAGCATCAGCGGGGTCTAGGCCTCATCTGAATGCTTCAAATCCGTCTACAACGAGACGATCGCCTTATTTAACAGTGTACCTTTTGCTTACAGCCTTGATCTTGATACGGTAAGTCATTGTCAGAACTGGTGTAACGAAATCCCTAAGTGTCAGGTGTGGGTTTATGTCGAAAATTCCGGCCATTGTGACCTTTATCGTACTGGGCCATTAAGTCTTTCGGATAATAGCGGCTTCACTTTCGGTGGATGTGAACCTGCCAATGTAACTCGACCTGTTGTTACTACCATAGACCGAGCTTTGATTCCTACGCTTAGTAGCACTCCTGTGGAATCAGGAGACAATTTCTCGGTATGGATCTAAATCCTTTATGGCGTTAGTATTTCATGTTCCTAGCTAACCGTCTGTTCCTTGTAGACCCATGTAAGGCGCGAAGTGGGTCAGCACTGACATAACCGCTACCACCGATAAGGGTCTAATGCGTGAGATGGTGGAAGAGCCTGAGAAAGTATTTTGAAATCATGTTTAGAGTTAAAATAAATATAGCGATTGGTCAATTTTATGATAGGCTTAGGGAAGACTTCTCTCTGTTGTATTATTAGTAAATACTAAACTGCGTTTGTCTACTCAATTGCGTTCATGGTAGACAGATAAGTTAGACCTAGGACGCGGGGCAAAGATGCTGGTAAGCCGAATATAACGCGGAGCACAAAATGCCGAGTAATTCTGAACCTATCTCTATCCTTCAATCCCACGCGAGGTTAATAAAGCCACTGTGCTACTAAATGGCAGCCTAGGTGGCAGCGCTAGTGTTTAGTGTGATAAAAATTTCCAGGGTCAGGGTCCAAGACGCTAATTTTCGGATGCGGCGGGTCCTCGGGATACGCTGTGAAAGAGATAGCAGATTTTCCAAGTGGTCTGTGTAGGTACTAGATTAGCTAGTGATAATTTCTTTAGCGTTGAAAATATTCAAAGGATTTAGTCTGGTGGGAATCAGTTCGCTATATCCCGAAAACGAGAAGTCTGTATCTGGTAGTAACTGCGCTCAGTGCGCCACAATAAAGTAGATGACCTACCCTGCGCCGATTTTGCGAAGGTGATTGGGCATTCTAGTTCCCGAATCGAGATACCTGACGAGATAAGAAATGTAACGCAGATTTATTCTAAACGGGAACCAGGCGCTTCATTTAAGCACCGGAGGGCACGTTATCCCGGTATTATTATCGAGGTACGCTCTTCACAAGAAGTCTTTATAACATCGAGACAGCTTTGTGACTTTCATTCGTGCGCCGAAGAAGAACAGCAACTACAGATGCTTCAGCAAGGCTCTACCAATCGACTACGCCCGGGTGATAGAAAGCGTCCTCGACCTCAAACCCCTCCGGAACAGCCAAGTTTGGAAGAGAGAAAAGGGGAAAGTAAATGTGGCCGTCGAAGCAGCGATCTTTGTCCGAATTCTTCGTCTGGATATTCGAAAGGTGAGCTGGGTTAATTATTGAATACATGGAACAATCCGCGAAGGATATATCTTGTTTGTAAGTATATGCCCTATAACTAACTAATGATCTCCTAGTTATGAGATAGTCATTTTTGCAATAATTCCAAGCTTTCAATGATTCTTTCCCCACCCCTACGGATCTGCTACTGAGCTCCTCAAACCTAGAATATATCGACTCTCGAGGCCCTGCTATATTCCCTTTCTCGATGTGGACCAGAAGACATACTAAGCTCCTCAAAAGTCAATGTAAGTTACAATCTACCCTGAGAACCAAAATAGTCTCGCAAGTACTCACCATTTTCCCTAAAGCAGAATACAAGATTATAAGAGCAAGACATAAACACTCCCCCACATCTCGGCCCGTGGTGGGGACCTTTGCGCCAGCCAAACCATGTCATCTCTCTAGATACGCGGGATCAAGTTTGTTTAAGGCGCATTCTCAAGAGCCTCATTTCCTTTTGAAAAGGAGATGAATGGATATACAGTTCTCTATTGAAAAGCTTGCGGCAAGTTTCACCAGAATGAGATGGATGTGTTTATTTTACAACTTCAAACTGCAATTCCGCAATTCCGGTCGCATATGCTAACGACGGAATGATGACGGACTTTACGACTAGTCCATGCAGTCCACGCATCCGCCCAACAAATAAAGCAATGATCTCCATCGAAGGAAAGGATACTTAAGACGCTGTGGTGCTCATTCTCGATAGTGAGGAAACAATCACGATGGGACCGCCGACCTCGAAAGTAGCCCTCGTCACTGGTGCCAACGGCATCAGTGGGTTTTCCGTCATAGAGCATCTTGTTCGCCAGTCAAAAGAAGAATGGTTTGTATCAATTCCGATACGCGGTCTGTATTTATTCACTGGATCTCACGGTTCCTTAGGTCCAAGATTGTCGTCACTTCCAGACGCCCCCTGCCCAATGCCTGGATCGACCCCCGAGTAGAATTCCTGGCTATTGATTTTCTAGACCCAGTGGAGGATATCATAGCCAAGATGAAGGACATCTGTGCTAATGTCACTCACGCATTCTTCACCTCCTACGTCCACAGTGACGATTTCAAATTGCTTCGCGAAAAGAACGTCCCGTTGTTTCGTAATTTCCTCGATGCAACTATCTCATCCTGCAATAAGCTCCAAAATGTTTCGCTTCAAACCGGAGGCAAGGTAAGCACAGCCCCTTTGTTGTTTTATCCGACTGTGGTTGGCTAATCGAAATTAAATAGTATTATGGTGTGCATCTTGGGCCTGTGAAGGTCCCCTTGGAAGAGTCTTTCCCGCGATACGATGACCAGGGATACAATTTCTACTATAACCAAGAGGACTATCTCAAGGAACTTCAAGCGCGTGATAGGACCTGGTCCTACAGCATCATCAGACCAAATGCCATTAACGGTTATGCTCCAAATGGTGAGCTCACCCCAGACTGTTCTAGGAAATTCTAACACCATATCAGCCAATGGAATGTCGGAAGTTCTTACAATCATTATCTATATGCTCATTTGTCGGGAGCTCGGCCAGCCAGCAAATTTCCCTGGAAATGAGTATTTCTGGAACTCGATCGATGATAACTCATACGCCCCAAGTGTAGCAGATCTGACTGTGTTCGCTGCCTCTCACGAAAATTGCAAGAATGAGGCTTTCAACCATGTGAATGGTGATATCTTCGTTTGGAAGTATATATGGCAAGACTTTGCTGCGTATTTCGGTATCGAGGTTTGTATTCATACCCTTTATCTTGATATGTCAATCTCCTCTAACTAAAACGATGTAGGTCCCAGAGCCGAACTTCGTCAAAGCCCGTCGAGCTGATACCCTTTCAAACGAGATCGACATGGTGGAATGGGCCAAGGACAAGCGGGGTGTCTGGGAGACCGTTGTGAGAAAATATGGTGGCAAAGTTGAAACCTTCGATTGCGGCACTTGGGGATTCTTCAACTGGGCTAGTGGCAAATCCTGGCTTACAATTTCATCCATCAACAAAGCCAGACAGTTTGGCTGGCAGCGAAATGACAGGACCTTCGACACTTGGATCGAAACATACCGCTCCTTCGAAAATGCAGGAGCTTTGCCCTCGCGTGCGGCGTTACTCAGGGACTAGTCATATCTTACCGTCCCACGGCTATACTAGTCTATCATCTTCAGCTATTGTTTATTTCGCTATAGTGCCATATCACGTACATACGACCATAGGGTGTGGAAAACAGGGCTTCCCGTCCGCTCAGCCGTACTTAAGCCACACGCCGGTGAGTTAGTAGTTGGGTGGGTGACCACCAGCGAATCCTCACTGTTGTATGTTTTTTT